AGCTACCGCACGAAGAGAGGCGACCTAACAACGGCCTACAAGTTCATCCACCAAGTGGACAACCCAGATAGGTCAGCATTTTCGGCCAAAAACCAGTAGTCTTGGGAAAACCCCACTAGCACACCCAACCATGAGGCAGAGATTAAGATGAGATCACACTTTTTACACTGTGTGCCTTATGGAACGCTATGCCGAAGGAAGCAGCCACAGCCACGTCAGTTGGCTCTTTCAAACCACTAGTGAATAGGTACGCGAACACAAACAGCCTGCCACGAACATTCATTGGTAGTAACTGAAGGCATGCTCATCCCCCTGTATTTCTCACCCCTAGTGTCTGGGGTCAGATGCACCCTTTCACCATATTATTACCAGTAACCCTCATATTTTATGACTACTTTTCACATCCCTTTTTCTCATTCCTCGGTCTTCTAATTTTAAGCACTTTTTAAGTAGTGCTTAATACTTGCCTGCAGGTGCTCGCAAAAACAGGACTTGCAAAAGGTTAATTGGTCTCATTAGCAGCTCTGTTGCCCCTCAAACAAACCAAGCGGCAGTTCACAAGAAAAAAACCTTCAGATCGACAAGTACTACTCTCAAAGCTATAAGCAGGGAAAAGGTAAAGACTTCTGTGACCGCCAAAAGAGTCTAACGGAACAGAAAGAAGGGAACCTCAAGATCTAGAAACAGAAGCTGAAAAACTACAAATTCCCTTCTGCGAGCACCGATGATTTCAGTCCTTGGGTTTTGAAAGGCGGAGCCAACTTCGTGTCGCCTTTCTCGGGGAAGCCATGCACCCCGAGATAAGCCACCCCCTTTGTGTGTGTCCCTGAATACTGCCAAAGAGGCTGAAGACACTCCCCTTCTCTCGCGACAACCGGACGTTGTTAATGCCTGTAAAATTCGGGCCAGGCCTGACAAGCCATGGTCAATAAGAGAGAAGGAGAGAAAGTCAGCGGTTGGAAATCCCAACAGAAACAACACTATAGTTGTACATGGGATTCCAGAATTGCCAAGTGACTGCTCGGTTAAAGATCTGTACTTTCAAGACGCCCAACAATGGCAATGGCTCTCAACCAAAGTTGGTCCCGACAGCATACCGGCCAACAGCGTCAGTAGACTGCCAAGGCCAGCGCATCTGAAGACCATACCCAATCCCAGACTACTCGCCGTCCAGTTCGACTCATATGCCTCCCTCACAGACGTTCTACACGCATGGTTTAATGCGAAAGATCGCATGGGTGGCACAGTAAGTATGTGTGAAAGCAAGCCTAGACCCGCAAGGCTAGAAGAGAGACGGCAACCACCAAGACCTCTGGAGTCAGTGGTCGTCACACAGGCGCTGACCAGTGAGTTAGATACATCAAGTAAAGAAGTCACCACCGCCACAGCCCCCACCCAAGTTAAAACAAAACACAAAAACGGAACAATGCCCGTCCTATGAGGACTGGCGAGGCTAGACCCAACCACATAAGCACTCATCCCGTGAAAATACATAACCAGACCTCCCCTCTCGCCAGGCACACTCTAATATGTATGTACAGCAACGTTAGGGGGCTAAGAGGGAAGGTAGCAGAAATGAGGACGCTGCGCGAACATCAGCAATCCGACATCATGTTCACCACTGAATCCTGGCTGTCGCCGGACATCGACGAAGAGATGCATGTTACTGGCATGGAACTCTTCCGCAGGGACAGGGAACACAGAGCAGGAGGGGGAGTGGCTATCTACGTAAACTCCTGTTTAAAGGCAAGGATGGTTAGCGATACGCCCTTAACCCAGCTCCCAGGATCTCTGTGGTGCTACTTCACTCTCCACCGTACCAAATACCTGCTCGGAGTCATATATCGGTCCCCCCAGCTCCTCTACACATAAGGAAATGGTCATCAAGGCTATCTTAACGACTTCCTCTGCAAATTACGATTCCGTAGTCATTGCCGGCGACTTCAACACCCCGTCCATCCTCTTCGAGACGGAAGGGAGACGCATCAGATCCTTCAATCAGAAGCTGAAGGATGCAATTAAGACTGCTGGCCTCTCAGAGAAAGTGGGTGATGCTACACGCTGGGGACCTAACGGAAACGCATCGCGCCTTGACTACGTTCTGACGAACGATGAACTTCTCATTGAGGATGTTTGCATCCAACCTCCCCTTGGCCTCAGTGACCACGCTGTAATCACCTTCTCCATGATAACTAGGGAGGCTCTGCAACTGGAGACGCCCAACACCTTCCCTTGCTACAGCAAGGCCAACTATGAGACCATGAGGGACTACCTCATGAATGCATCATGGCCAGTGGACTGGACTCATCTCACAATAGATGAACACTGGTTGGAGGTGAAGAAAATAATCACTGGGGCCATCAGTCACAGTGTACCAGAAGTAACACACAGACAATCAATGAGAACCTCATGGTTAAAGCGTGGGACAGAGAGGCTTATCCGGAGCAAGAAGCAGGCTTGGTTCAAGTGGCGTACATCACGCAGGGAGTCTGACTTCTTGAACTACAAAAGGATTCGCAATCTCTGTAACATTAGAGTGCGTAACGACAGATTTTCCTACCAAACAAACTTGGCAGCGAGGTTACAAAGCAACCCCAAAAACTGTACCGCTTCATGTCAAGAAGAAAGTCGACCAGTAAGGGAGTGAATCTTGTCACAGGCCATGACGGGAGTGTACTAAGCAGTCTAGAGATTGCCGAGCTTTTGAGCTCACACTTCCAAGCCCAACTCAGCACTGACACAAGATCCACACCGACTCGCTACGACACCGACCAGGTAATAAATAACGAATACCTCTGTCACGTCTCTATTACAGAGAAAAAGGTGTTCGAGAAGCTATCTAGGCTACGTCCGGGCAAGTCCCCTGGCTGCGATAACCTGAAACCAGTGGTTCTGAAAAACTGCGCCGAGGTGCTTACCAAACCACTTCGCAACCTCTTTGAGCACTCAATAGACTCGTGCAAACTCCCTAAAGAATGGAAGAGTGCCATCTTGTCACCCATCTTCAAGGGAGGAGACAGAAAAAGCCCTGGCAGCTACAGGCCAATTGCCCTACTCCCTATTGTGTCGAAAGTGTTGGAAAGCCTGGTAGCTGACACCATCTGGGAATTCCTCAATAGGAAAACACTGTCCACACTGCTCAGCACGGCTTTCGGAGTGGTCGCTCATGTGCCACCAACTTACTAACCGCCTGGGACGACTGGACACAAAGCTGGGATAATAGAAAACCTGTACATGTTGTATTTCTCGACCTAGCCAAAGCATTTGACAGTGTCCCACCCACAGTACTGCTTCACAAGATCATGTCAGCTGGTATAAGTGGACCCCTACTCTCTTGGTTCAAGGAGTACCTGGAAGGGAGGCAGTTCTGCACTAAAGTGAACAGAATAAGGTCGGAGTGGAGGCCCTCGACGTCAGGAGTATCCCAAGGAGCAATCCTAGGACCGCTTCTGTTCCTCCTGTTTGTCAACGATCTGCCAGAAAAATATCCTCACCCATCCTCCTCTTCGCTGACGACATAAAAATTTGGAGGGTGGTAAACGAAGAAGCTGACTGTGCAGCACCACTAAAAGACTTGCAGCAACTCGAGCTCTGGTCGTCGGAAAATGGCCTGAGCTTCAACCTGGAAAAGTGCAAAGTAATGCACATCAGTAAAAATGAGGCAAGTACGACCGACTTCCAGTACATGTTGAGCAACCGTGCTATCACCAGAGTGTCCATGGAGAAAGATTTGGGGCTCAACTTCTCCGACACCTTGGACACCAGCTCCAACTACAAAGGTATGACAACCAGAGCGAACGCCATTCTACACTTTCTGCGTAGACAGCTTGGCGCCCTCACTCCCGAACTCTTCCTCACCATTTTCAAATCCTACGTGCGGCCGCACCTAGAGGTCTTCAATACGGTGGCTCCTCCAACACTCAAGAGAGACTCTAATCTCCTTGAAAGAATACAAAGAACTGCAACAAAATCAGTTGTGGGGCTAAGGGGAAAGACGTATCCTGAAAGACTTAAACACCTCAACCTATTTACCTTGGGTTATCGCAGGAAAAGGGGTGACCTCATTATGGCATACAAGATCGCCCATCAGGCAGACCATGCAAACAAATCAATTTTGCCTGCAACTGAACGATCTTCACGAGGAAACCCCATTAAGATAGCACACCAGAGAGCCAACACCACACTCAGGTCCAAATTTTTCTCCCTAAGAGTATGTGCTTTATGGAATGCCTTACCGCGACACATCGTTATAGCTCCTTCAGTCGACTCTTTCAAGAGGCGATTAGACAGTTATGTCACCTCGCATGGACTACCACGGACGTACTCAGGTAGTCACCAACCTCAGTACCCCCAACTCCCTCCTAACTACCACTCACTATCTCCCTCCTTAATACACCCACATTACCTACTAATTCTTCTGTAGGAACCAAACCCACGCGACCATTCGGGCAATTCCCAAATACTTTTCTTTCGTTCTTATTTCTCTTTTTCACCCCTCCTTTTCTTCTCCTTCCCTTTTCTCTCCCCTTATTATTATTTTCTTCTTTCTTCTCTTTTTTATTCTCTCTTCATTCTTTCACCACTACCTTACTATTCTCTTTCAGGTACCTACACAGACAGGAGTCACGGCAGTTCCCTAAACTTCCCAGCAACCCGTAGCTCCCCAATCACTCTACAAATTACAACTCACAAAACATCCACCTCACCGAAGCTAAAAGCAAGAAAGCAGAGGGATTTCCTCGTCCACTGCAGGAGTGAACCGAACAACTTGAACCAAGCCCTAAGAACTGGACGCGAGAGATCAAAAACTATCAGTTTTCTACGCTCTCACTATCAATATTGGATATTGGAAGGTCACGACTAGTGCACTGTATGTACACAGCGCACATTTTGGGTTTTAACGAAGTGTTGGCATTATTGTGAAAGTTACCCATGTATCAGTTGGTTAAAATAACATACTTCTTGCCAACTTTATGTAGGGTCTGAACTACCTCTAAAATATGCATGTAAGTTGGCATATGGCCATTTTCTGTCCCTACGGATGGTAACAAGATTTTTTCATTAGTGCCACAACAACCAACAGCGGTAGTGCAAGTATAGAATATTGTTATGTTTTTGAACTCCCATCTTGACCCCGAGGTCTGGTTCCCTTTCTATTCGGTTAGGTCCATTCGTTAGCTTCAGAAGTCTTCGAAGGGTGAGATTGCGAGAAGCTTCTCCTACGGGTTTGAGAAATTTAGCTTTGTTGTGTTAAGTTCATTCATAGCTTTCTGATAGACTTTGGCTTGTAGGGTTCAGCTTACGTCCTAGCTTTCCTCAGTTTCTAAGCCTTTAGGTTTTATTATGTAGAGGTTTTACTTCTAAAAAGAGTTGTGTCTTGTAGTTGATCGCTTCTATATGCTCTTGGTTTAGTTTTGATTGAGTATTTTTTCATCACTAAAGTACAGTTTCTCGATGGCAAGGTCCACTTGACTGCTACTCCGTGGTTGATGGAGATATGGTTTGTGATCTGTGTATGTTGGGGCTAACAACTTACCAACTGATCTCGTTTAGCTGATGACAGCAATAAATCCGACAAGATCGAAAGTTCGGCCGATGTCGCATGACACCGACTAAATGAGTAGTGCCGTGGTTTCGGTCCCAACGCATAACCGACGTAAGAGGAAACCAAAGGTGACCAGCACGCCATAAACAATACCTAGTGATTCGCAGAGCGACTGCATTTCTATCCCTGTAGATGACATTCATGCTATGGGATTGAAAAGCGATTGATTAAAATTACCCATCAGGGAATTTAAAGAAACCTTTGGAGGTTCATACCGAAACTACTAAGATTATAAAACTCATTGAGAAGGCTTCAGAAACTGTCAACACTAGATTCATTTACGTACCGACAAGATCGTCTGATCTTCTGCAATATGAAAGAGTCGTTCATACTCATCATGTGAGGCTGGTTGAGTTAGCTATCGGACATCTTACTGGACATTTCTCCTGTAGCACGTATCTGCAGAGTAGGTGGGTTACAAAAGTGGGGAATAATCGATAAGCTGAAAATTTTGAAGGTTCTGGGTTGCAAATAAAAAGGGATGCACTCCTGAACAATGCATTCAAACTATGTGGTTCAGACATCCGCACCCAAGGAGACTGGTCTTTCGAGGATCGGATAAAAAGACGAACATTCGCCGAACCGAAATCTGGGCAAAAAAAGAGAAAATAATCTTTAAACTATGGGTTCTCGGGTCGTTAGGTTTTGAAAACGAACGATTTCAAAGCCGTTAAGCAGAGTTTGGAGGACTCTTTAAGCACAGAAGCGTCTTCTACGCCTATGTTCCTGGAGTTTGGAATGAAATGCTAGAACTGGAGACTAGTTTATGACCTAGGTCTTGATGTATTTGGTGACACTGAAACCTGGCTAGTAAAGAAGTAGGATCTTAATCCACTTTTCGGGTTATTTTTGCACTAAAGTGGATAAAGTAGTAAGCCACAAGTGGCGGCATACTGCTTAGTGTTCGTGATGAATTCAACATACGATGTCACTTCAGAGTTACGCAAATCGAGTACACATGAAATGGCTAGTTACAAGTTGTGAAGTCAACACAAAGGGTCTTCCCTATTGAGGCAATTCACCGTAGCGCATCTTTTATTGCAAATAACTTCGTACCAACTCACACAGGACTGAAATATAAACAGTAGATATCTGATAGTCGGAGACCTTGACGCTCCACATTTAACTGAATGGAGATTAAATTATTAGCCTCAGGTGATCGTATCGAAAGTGACCTGCTTCTAATGGTACTAGAATCTACTTCAGTTCAAAGTGTAACTTGTACAACACGTAGCGATTTAGAACGCCAGCCATTATTAAATTTAGTTATAACTCACCAATACAGCACTGCCACCAATGGCGAATAGCGATCATGCTGTGTCAACTTTCATTTTCCTAACTTTCGATTTCGATCATGACACTTTTTCCTCTATATCTAGTATATAGCGTGCAGATATTCCGTGTATAAGCGATTCCGCACTCAGTAAATATTGCACCATCTATGACGAATCATTTGCCGAGAACGCTCGACTTAGGCTCAGAACTATATTCAAAGAGGTAACGGTGCCTTTTATCTCATGGCCGGTCGTACCAAAGTCACCTCGTGATGTGATAAGGATACTAAAAACTACTGAGGCGGAGAAAACGTTTGTAACTGACAGACAGAATCAATGTAGAACCTCGCACTTAAGTGCGTCGGCTCAAGTTGCCACACTTCACAGTACTACACAAACAACAGGTGGATAGAAAAAGACTAATATCGAAGAAAGTAAAGTTGCATGAGAGAATAAACAATGTGAAGATAAAGGTTATTGCGAATATTCACTCTGGTCACTCTAAACCATCTTCCAACCTAATCTAGCTTCATGTAGCATTCCACATCGAGGTAGGCAGTGGCTCGGTATGCGCACTGTATGTCAAAGCCATCTCATTTGACTGAACGTCATCAGTTGACTTCCCTGTCTTTCCTGGTACACTTCTCCTGACTTCTACATTGCTCATACAGTCGTTCCACCAAACACAGGCAATGCTACGAAGACACCAGTAGACAGATACCTGTAACCCCTTGATATCTTGTACTTTTAACAATCATGTTTGACGGCCGTACAGCAGGGCAGAACGGACTGCAGTGTAGTATACTCGTCCTTTGATAGATAGTCAGATATCCCGTCTGTTGGCGCCACAGATGAAGCAAGTTGACAAATGCCAACCGAGCCTCCTGCGTCTCAGCTGAGATTTTGTCAGCAACCAACCCGTTCGGGCTGATGCAACTCCCCGTGTAGGTGAAGTGTTTGACACATTCAACCACTTCACTCCTTATCGTTAGACTGGGAGTACTTATAGCAGACCAGTCACTTAGCATCATCTTACATTTGACAGATGCCAGCAAAACGCATGCCAAACATGTTCAGATTTCTGCCCAACGCGTGCGTTCAGAAGACCCTGCATTTGTCAGCATCTTCACCTAGCAGGATAATATCGTTTGCATACTCCAAGTCAATCAGATGACCTCCAGGGAATAGGTCAGTCCCTGTGAAGTCAGACGTACCTGAGAGTATGTGAATGAGTACGTCTGTAAGGAAGTTAAATAGGAACGGTGACAGCAGACATATTTGCCGGATAATACTAATTTTCGTCAATTCTGATGACAGCTCTTTATAAGCCCTGACACGGCTGGGTGATTTCGAATATAAAGCTTTGATTAGGGTTATACACTCGCTCATTACTCCCTTCACAGTCAGACACTGCCACAACACCTCACGATCGACTGAGTCAAATGCTGCCTTCAGGTCGAGAAATATGCCAAATGTTGGCCACTGGCTGATAACTATGCCTGTGTCTCAGAATCTGTTGGAGGGCGAAAATGTGATCGATTTGCCCTCTTCCAGGTGTGAAACCTGCCTGGTTTTTTCGAGTTTGCCTGTTCTCGAGCTCCATTTAGGTGTGGGATAACTATGAACTCTAGGGTCTTGGACACAATATTAATCGAACTGATTATCCTACGGTGGTCTCAAGATTTCTTCGTCTTATAGACTGGTATGATTAGTGTAGACCGGTCTGACGGCACTACCTTTGATTCCTATACACTACCTAGTACCTCCGTCACTTTAGTTAGTAATTTCCTACCTGCATCCTGAGGTGGTAAACTGTCAAGTCCTGCTGCTTTGCATCGTCTCTGGTTCGATACAACTTTCTCAACTTCAAAGAGAGTTGAAGGACGGACATCTATACCCCATTCAGGTTCATGCTTGCTGGATGTTAGGTAGCTGAAGCGTTTGTGAGGGACAGTTGAACTGTACTTCAAAGTATTCCACCCAACGTTCTAGCCGTTTGTCATGAGATGTTATCAGATTCTTTTTCTTTTCGGTAACGTGTACGCTAACCATCATCTTACTGGTGTCACTAGTAAGCCTAAATAGTTGCCGTGTTACCTAACGTTTTCTCCACCGACCACTTCTCGGGTTCATTGCTAAAGCTCTTGGTTAAGTTACGTTTAAGTTGCTTTAACTCTTCATCGTGGTCAGAGCCAGCTGGAACCAGTCTTCTGGTATCACTTAGTTCAGATGATGTCACGGAAATCCAATGACGTTTACTAACCTTCGGGTGCAGATTGCCAACTGTCTTAACAGCTGTTTTTGCAGTAGACTTCATATCACACCAGATTTCCTGACGATGAGCATTGTTATCACGTTCAGATAAATGCTTAGCTAACTCCTCTCCAAATGCGTACTTTGTCTCCTCGTCTTCCAGTCGGACACAGAGGCTCCACTGCTACCTGTTTTCTGCGACCAGTAAGGCGCAGATATACCAAAGCCCTTATTAGTGCGTGATCGGAGTCCAAACAGGTACCACGGAAAGAGCAGCAATCCTACACCGATCATCTCCAACGATGGCTGGCCTAATAGCAGTGTGATCTATCTGTGTCCGTCGTTGGTTCGAAGACGGCGGACGCCATGTGAGACAGTGCTTAAAGCTGTTGGTAGCCAAAAGCAAGTGATTGTCGGATCAAAATTGCAACAGGCTTTCACCGTTGATGGTTCGTTGGCATGGGGTTCCGTAAACACTTCCCAGATACCATTCCGATTAGCTCATCTTCCTTGTTTGAGCATTGAAGCCGCCTGCCATTATGACTACATTAAAACGTTTTGCTTTCTGTAGCAAAATTGACAGCCTATCATAGAATTCATCCTTTGCACCTGAACCACAGTCGGTGGGTGCGTAGGCGGAGATTACTAATGGGCATCTGTCGGTTTTTCAGTCCTTCCTAATTCTTACAGATCCATTCAGTCGAACAGCACATAAACGACTGTTGACTGGTATCCAGTCGAGAAGCGTACTTTCCGCTCTACAGTTCAATGGTATGCCTACACCAGCAGGTCCACGAGAGCTAGCCATCGGGATACTCGTAAGGTGAATTTTGTAGATTCACCGCACTGGCTAGATGAGGTCGATTTAATAACCACACTCTGGTCTTGTGTATGTATGTCAGAGGCACAGCATACATCCATGACCAGAGACTCAGGAGTTTTGGCGAACGATGCTTGCTGTCCGATTTGGTATAGAGTTTAGACATCGAGAGCTCCAGCTTGAAAGCTGTAAGAGGCCTAATATTAGTTTCAGGAGGCGAAGGCAAGTGGGGAAACAGAGTTGAGGAGGACAGGCCCTATTTGATTGGATCTGGTGTACTACTGGGAGCGTTGAACACTTCCCGGTTACCCACACCCTGGATGACTGTTTCTCAATTGGCTACCTGAAAGAGAAAAACATTTGTGTGACGGTAGAGACGATGAGACATCTGCTTAAGACCTGTCAAACACAGCCTTTTGTGAATTGTTGTTACTAGGTTTGATTGTTCTAACCTCAAACAGAGAGACTGGCACCGCCAGCGCCGGATAAACGTGGGACATGGTGGAGTCTGTTATTTTTGCGGCCGTTCTTTTCCATCCTTCTTTTCGTTGAAAAGGCAGCATGATCGTGGTACTGCTGGTCATCCAAGGAAAACATATTACTACTGTCACACCTATCCAGCTAGCAGTACTACTTTGCCCTCACAACTCCATCATAGTGTAGTAATTTACACTACTACGACTACTGCTTTTCCTTTTATCCAACAAACCTATTTAGAATGGTAGGACCTTTAGGAAAAAACGTTCCACCAACATGGCTTGTTGGGTCATTGTTATATGCAAGCCCGACCACCACATCAACATAGCTATCGCTTGGGCTACCAAGTGCAAGGTAATCTTCAGAAAGGTCTCAAGAGACGTTCCCTTCACACTGTCAAACAACGACTATTTCAGATGGTCCAAATGTTGGTATATGTCTATACTACTGTTAATCTTCTAAGAGAAACTGTTGTTGCATCTCAGTACTGAAAGCTGTTAGATTTCGATATAACATCGCTTTTGCTTTCACATTGTTACACCTGTATTGTAAATTACCTGTTGTTTTGGTGCTTCCCTTTTCCAGCAGATGAAAAGTAAAAGGTGGCTTTTACTTACGTTACGCTATATAGCGCCGATATACCTTTTTAATCAAATGGTAAGTCGTAATCTGCAATATCTAACTTTATGCAAAAATTGGGTCAGAGCATTTCTCCTTCTGTTTTTCCACCCTTCACTGAATAATAAAAATAACGAAATCAGTTAGTCAATGTTTATTCAATGCCCAAATCTTTTTAAACCATCAAATATCAACCTGGTTTGGATATCTAAAAATTAATTAGCCTCAGTGTCTAACTCTCTGAATAGCCTTCCTGTTGTGTTGTTAAACTGGTGGAGATTTGGACCACTAGTGTAAACCCACGGGTTCGAATCCTGCTCCACCTACTCTGGTTTGGGAAGCCAGGTAGTGTCATTAGCCATCACACAACAGGGATGACTCATTACCTCTGCATGAACGGTTGCTGAGTGGCTTTCATTTCATTGTAAAACTACTGCTAACTGATTGCCAGTCCCAACTAAGGAGATCGGAAGACAAGATGTACAAGACAGTAGTTTGATGCTGAGTGATGATTAGTAGTTTCATATTCACGAAAATGAGTGAGATTGAGTGTATTCAAGCTCAATAAATAAATCATTTTCCTAATGACGTGTGTGTGTACATGGTAGGTAGTCAAGGGCTATATGTTGACTTGTAGGTTGTTTGAAGATAGACAGACAAGATCAAGATAAGACCAGTCATTACTCAGTAACGGTTCAAGTTCCCACACCTATCAGCACATCAAGTGAGAAATCATTAAAATGAAGGACCAAGGAATACGGGACAATCGATCAAAGTAGTAGAAAGTGGTAAAAAACGGGGAAGAAGGAATACGAAAATACTGAATTCGATATGATGATTAGGATGAGGATAATGTGTGGACACATCTGCGCAACTGAGATCAATCCTGAGCCGTCACGTAGAGTCTCCAACCACTATTGGTTTCTGATGTCACGCGGATGCCAACTGACAAGTCTACACTTCCCTATATGGCTTGGTCAAAGACTTCATGTATTGATGCTATGTTTCAGTCTGGTCACTGTTAACCTCTTCGAGACTGAACCCACCTCAGCCACTATAGTGAGGCAAGGGAGACGGTGACCAGGCATGCATAATATTTCCCAGCCACCTGACTCGATAATCGTTCGCAACCAGTTAAACAAGACATTTTACGCACCACCCTTCATTAACGTGTTGGCATTTAGAAGAAGAGTATTTAGTGTGCTCACTTGATTTCAAAATATCTGAAGCAGGTCGTTGCTAGAAGAATAACTTATGAGTGCAGGTAGTTTTCGACGGTAGGAACAGCGATACACTGAATACATACGCTTATATGTGCATTTGGGATAAACTTTTACAGGTGGGTAGTGTTTAAAATGAAATCCTTTTCTTCATGATGTATTTTTTGTGTGTGTTATTTTTATAGGTACAGTTTTATTCGCTACTTTAGTTTAAAAAGAATACTTCGATGGATACTTTCATATCTTCGGTAACTAAGTGTATATCGGATGCTTGTCAAAATGCTGTCAGTATCGATTTCGAAAAGCTCATTGACGAATTTGAAACAAAAAGTAATGCAGTGTGCCCCTCAATTTTATGTCTCTTAGGTGCTTCCTTAGCTAGGCCCCTTTTCAGCAGCGATAATGCAGATTTCACAACTGAGAAAGCACACGTAAGTCCTTTTTTCTAATAATTCCTGTATTCTAGAGTTATTGTATCAACCCTGATGTCATTCAGTCGCAGTCTAATACTCAAGATTTTTCATCAGCTTACCCAAAAGTAATGAAATTTATTTATCCTTCAGAAGATGAGATCAAGGCAGAACAACTTGATGTCATGCATTTATTGACTTATAAGTCTGTAAATGAGACTAGGAACGTTGTTAGTCCAGACTTTGATGACAGTTTTACGAGTCTGGACTTAACTCAGATTATGAATACTTCTGAAGTGAATTATAGGAACCTCTCAAGTTATATCCCTAACCAAACATTTCCAGATTCGCCAGAAAAATTAAAAGTTTGCAACAAAACCGCAGTTTCATCTGAATGTAGATATTTTCCAAACGAATTACAGATGCCAGTTTGTGTGATATCTTCTAAAGAAAAGTTAATCCAAGCAGTTACCCAGGACGACTTAACCAACCTACAACCAATACTAAATGACGCCAACAATGTTCCCTGCCTAAGTGACCACGCTAAAAATCCTGTCTACGAGGATATTTCTTTGAAATCGGGAGTTATTCCTAACCTTCTTTTAAAACCGAGCAGTGAGTTTGAAACTATTGAAGCACCTACATCAGAAGCTCAAACGTTTGTTCACCATATCAGCCTATACAAGAGCTGCATGCCGCACGAATCTAATACCAATCCAAATTTCACTGGATTTAAGACCGGGAAGGGTGATTCTGTCATGTTGACGAGTGCATCATCGAAGAAATTCGCCCAGACACTAGTTGATGCATTGGATGTTGTCGAAGAGAGTGTTGTTGTGGAGAGTAATTCTGAGACTCGTGATTATTGTTCCACTGGATTTAAGACCGGGAAGGGTGATTCTGTCATGTTGACGAGTGCATCATCGAAGAAATTCGCCCAGACACTAGTTGACGCATTGGATGTTGTCGAAGAGAGTGTTGTTGTGGAGAGTAATTCTGAGACTCGTGATTATTGTTCCACTGGATTTAAGACCGGGAAGGGTGATTCTGTCATGTTGACGAGTGCATCATCGAAGAAATTCGCCCAGACACTAGTTGATGCATTGGATGTTGTCGAAGAGAGTGTTGTTGTGGAGAGTAATTCTGAGACTCGTGATTATTGTTCCACTGGATTTAAGACCGGGAAGGGTGATTCTGTCATGTTGACGAGTGCATCGTCAAAACAGTTCGCTCAAACACTTGCTGATTCAGTGAGCGTACACATAGACAATATTTATCTAGAGAGGAATTCTCAGTTTTTGAATGTATCTGAAATAAATGACGCTTTGGATTGTAATCGAAAAAGAGTTATTACAGTCCCATGCGTTTCCTCTGAATCGTTATCTTGTGAAGTTGACCCATTGGTTGGTTGCTGTTTTGACACACAATTTGATTTTTCACTTGAAGTGTCTAAAGAAACATCACAAACAGTGGAAACGGATTTAGAGTAAGTCATCAGCTCGTTATTTGACGTATTATATACAGCATTTTTGTATCTTTAGTTTTTTAGCAACTATTTTTGAGTTAAAATGATAGAGAAATTGCATGGAAATGTAAAATATGGCCTAGCATCTAACCATTCTACTAATGCTTTAAGCTTGACTAACTGTATGGCATTCATTCATTATTCTGATGGGCTTATTGTTCTCTGACATCTAGTTTTTATTGGTGAAGCTTTTGATTTTGACAAAAAGGTTGTCTCTAGTCTCACTTCAGAAGTCAATGAAGCCGACATGTCCTCCATAGGTATTTACTAGGATCATGTTTATGATGCTGGATGACAAAGTAGTTGGTTTTCCTTGTTTCTCGTATCTTGTTTTTTTCTTGATCGCATGTTCGCAGTCGCCTGTGCGCTGTTCGACTGAATGGTTCAATAACGACTAAAAAGAATAGTGAACTCCTTCCTCAGTTCTCTCTTGTAATCTTTGAATTTGTAAGAACAGAATGATGGTGACGCTCGCCTACACTTTATTGATGCGAGAAAACTGATTTCAGCTGACCTTGACCACAATGAGAGACGAAGTAGTTTAAATGTACAATTACTTAGAGTCTTCTCAATGATCATGAACGGTGGTGGTTGGCGAAAGTGAAAGAATTGAGACAGGCATCAGCATGAGTAATACTTAGCAAATACTTTGACTTTTTGACGATACAAGAAAAAGATGATGATTAATTAGATGACCACTGGAAAGCACGGGTCCGTGATAACTTGTCAGGACCGTTTGACAGGTTCTAAGACATAGGTACACTTACCGGGGCCCGAAACTTGCCATAGTTCCTTGCCTGCTGATGGTATTCAACTCTCTCGACCTAGAGGTGTTGTCTGTCTGACTCTGAGCAGAGTAATAACTTTGTAATGTCAGTCATAGCCTCTCCTTAAACTCACACAGCAGTATACGGACTTATAAGTTGTCATCCGAAGTGACGCCAACCAGCCGTATCTGCCAGGGAGACCCACTGTGACCATCCTTGTTTGACTTGTTTATTGGCTTGCCAGTGGTTATAACCCTAGGTACTTTATACAAGCAACAACATTAAATTACGCTCAAGGGGTCATCTGAATTGTGATCTTGGTAGCAGGCAGTTTCAGTGCACAAGTAGGCAGGCTAATCTAGGCCGAATGGCACTTATGTGGCACTTTTGGTATCCCGATCTAGCGAACACAACAGTCATTGCCTGCTTAAACTGTGCTCAAACAATTAGCTATTTCTGATTCGCACAAACTTCAGTCGTAAAAAACGTTATGTGGCATAATGTCCACCGACTTCAACTCAACTGTGGATGCAAATAGACTATGTTACTATCAGATATCACTGGAAAAGGTCGGTTGACGGTGTCACTCATCTGAAAAACTCCGAGTGCTATCTTCAGTTTGAAGTGACGACTGTAACACTTGCCCTGAGAAAGAGGTCGAAAAACATCATTGGTTCTCTCTAGCTTCTTCAGAACTAATAAGTGCTTGTGGATGCATTCCTACAGGCTTCGAGCACAATGAGGAGAGGAAGCAACTCAAGTGTAGACTGACTTAGTGTGTATGCAATGACTGGGAACAGTGGTGGTTAGCGAAGATTGAAGAACTGGTAAAGGTAGGGTTGATAGACTACAGTGAACAGTGATTTATGTCGATCAAAGAAACCGGGTTAGAAAAATCAATAGTTAGTGGGACGAAGCAGTGTGCGATCCATACGTAAAAGAGATGACTAGGGCGATAGATGAAACATTTTAAGGAGCAGTTCAGGTGGTTTCCAGCTAGTCTTCGTTTGCTTGCTGTCCAGTCGGGTCCTGGCCAGAACACTGAGGCGGGCCCTCCAACTCTTTCGGGATTTGAGAGGTTGTTGAAGGCTATGTTCGAATACCCGTGTTGGTTTTGAAGCCTATTTAGACCTATCATGCGAATTTAATTCTGTAATAGGTATACTATGAAGGTCTGCTTTTCGCCATCTAACTTCGCAGGGGTTGACATTAAAGGAGACTCATTGGTTGACTTTGGGTGCTCAAATGAAATATTCTGTTAGGTGAAGATACAGAGTCTTCCGAACACCTTGAGTAGCGATTTGAGAATATTTGGGATGCGCTTTTCACCACCCGAACGCAAACTGTCACTGTAAGACTGGTCTTCAGTGGTGCCTCGTCTAACAATAGAGAGTGAAATGGTTGAACGCATTGACGACTTCACTTACCTGGGAAGTCGGATCAACTCTGATGAGTCATAGGTAGACGAATTACTTGCATGGATATAAGAGGCTCGATTGCCTTTCGACATTTATGGCACCACCGTGATATCCGATTGTCTTTTAAGGGTTGGATGTACTGTGTTATAGTTCTCTCTGTTCTACTGTATGCTATGTAGAATGGTCATTAAGGGTAGAAAATGTGAGAAGGCGGCTTCAAGTGTTCGACCACCGCTGCCTTGATGGCATAAACCTTATGTTGTGGTGTCACAGTGTCAGTAATGTATAAGTCAACTGTAGAGAGGGAGAAGGTGAAAGTCAGCTGACAATGTTGTGAACGATTATCGAGTCAGGTGGCTGGGAAATATTATGCATGCCTGGTCACCGTCTCCCTTGCCTCACTATAGTGGCTGAGGTGGGTTCAGTCTCGAAGAGGTTAACAGTGACCAGACTGAAACATAGCATCAATACATGAAGTCTTTGACCAAGCCATATAGGGAAGTGTAGACTTGTCAGTTGGCATCCGCGTGACATCAGAAACCAATAGTGGTTGGAGACTCTACGTGACGGCTCAGGATTGATCTCAGTTGCGCAGATGTGTCCACACATTATCCTCATCCTAATCATCATATCGAATTCAGTATTTTCGTATTCCTTCTTCCCCGTTTTTTACCACTTTCTACTACTTTGATCGATTGTCCCGTATTCCTTGGTCCTTCATTTTAATGATTTCTCACTTGATGTGCTGATAGGTGTGGGAACTTGAACCGTTACTGAGTAATGACTGGTCTTATCTTGATCTTGTCTGTCTATCTTCAAACAACCTACAAGTCAACATATAGCCCTTGACTACCTACCATGTACACACACACGTCATTAGGAAAATGATTTATTTATTGAGCTTGAATACACTCAATCTCACTCATTTTCGTGAATATGAAACTACTAATCATCACTCAGCATCAAACTACTGTCTTGTACATCTTGTCTTCCGATCTCCTTAGTTGGGACTGGCAATCAGTTAGCAGTAGTTTTACAATGAAATGAAAGCCACTCAGCAACCGTTCATGCAGAGGTAATGAGTCATCCCTGTTGTGTGATGGCTAATGACACTACCTGGCTTCCCAAACCAGAGTAGGTGGAGCAGGATTCGAACCCGTGGGTTTACACTAGTGGTCCAAATCTCCACCAGTTTAACAACACAACAGGAAGGCTATTCAGAGAGTTAGACACTGAGGCTAATTAATTTTTAGATATCCAAACCAGGTTGATATTTGATGGTTTAAAAAGATTTGGGCATTGAATAAACATTGACTAACTGATTTCGTTATTTTTATTATTCAGTGAAGGGTGGAAAAACAGAAGGAGAAATGCTCTGACCCAATTTTTGCATAAAGTTAGATATTGCAGATTACGACTTACCATTTGATTAAAAAGGTATATCGGCGCTATATAGCGTAACGTAAGTAAAAGCCACCTTTTACTTTTCATCTGCTGGAAAAGGGAAGCACCAAAACAACAGGTAATTTACAATACAGGTGTAACAATGTGAAAGCAAAAGCGATGTTATATCGAAATCTGACAGCTTTTTTTTTCAAAAATCAAGTAGCGTAGATCTAAAGTGCCCTAGATGCTTTACAGACAAAGGAGCCAAATCATGCATTTGATAAAATAGATTCTCAAACTAAACCTGAGTGTGAAGTTTGTTTGGCTTCGGTATACAGGTATATTTAGCTGTAGGTGTTAGAATTTACAGTTGGATTAGTGAAAGGCTTGCAAATTTATTCGCTGAAGTCTTTCAATATACAAAGATATCCTTGTTTTAATACGATACATTCAAATGTAACGGAGGGGAATATATTATAAAGCTCCTGTAAATACAGATTTTTAACTCTTTTGAAATTCGTGTGATCTGTTGTAGATAAATACTACTGATTTAATGACACTTATTATTGATAGAACTATAGAAATAACCTGCTCTAGAATTAATTAAAAGTCTTATTGTTCAAATTATTACCCCTATGCTATTCATTTTCAACTCCGATATCCATAATTCGCATGTGTTGCATGAGTACGTAGCAAACATTTTATTAGACTATCTTCCTAGTCACTTCTTGTTACCTTTTTCCTTAGGAATTAACCACTTTTAGTTAGAGGAGTAATTTTCTTCATTTATATCCCTTGATAAATTTAAACAAAGCAAGAAGGATGAAATTTGCTAAATAAAATAGTTTCATTTTATCATTGATAATCTATATAACGTGTAAGAGAATTAATTATACAATGGGTGGGAAATATAAGAAAGGAAAAAAACAATGAATAAATAAAGAGTTATGTGATTGGAATGAAGCAGAATCAAATCAAATTCACCAAGGTAGTGAGAGACTAACCATACTCTTCGTCTGTATGAAAAGGTCAGGTTGGAAGCGTTTCATTGCAATTGTTTCCATGAAACGAAGTAATCCAGACATTCTCTGTACGTTAGTTACTTTAAAAGCCCTTGGAGTTTGAACTTGATGTCCTGTGTCTACCGCAAGTACTGGCTCGGCAAGCATGTGCTGTTGTATACTGATACACGTTTAGCTGCAGGAAATCGCCTTCATCAGTTCTCACGTTGTGGTCAAAATCACTGAACTCATTTTCATGCTCACATTCTATCGCAAATTTAGTGTCAGGATCCTCCTCGTTGAGCTGGTCACTTATGTGTTTCATATCACTACAAACAACAAGTGTGTCGTCAAAGTACCATGTGGTAATAGGTTGTTCCTTTGTGAATGAACTCATGGGCGTCTGTTCGAGATAACCCATAAAGACAGGTTCTAGAGATGAACCCATGGCCACTCCATCAATATCATTATAAAGCTGGTTATTGACTTCGGAGTGGACACCTTTTTGAAAAGACGTAGTAGCTGCTTCATCTCATTTTGGGTAGTGGCAGATCAGTTTGTTGACAGACTATATCAGTCGTTTCATTCATTGATATATTTGTAAATAAAGAAGTCACATCGTATGACACTGTGAGCTTATCTGACACGTCGACATGATATATTTCATAAGAAAATTCAAATATACATTTTAACCTGTGGGTCGCTAACTTACTCCTGATAGGCTCTAAAGATTTCACCAACCATTTCGACAGTTTGTGGTATGGCAGACTAATCATTGACATTATACGGGCCTAGTTTTGAAATATGCCGTAATAACCATTGAACTTTGAGACTGTATGCAGCTGAATAGTATTCGTGAAATAAAATAACATCATTATATTCTGCGAATTTCGTCTTTTGCTTTGTCCGAATGGAGTAATTGTTTGTTAAGGATGACTTAAGCTGTTAGTGTGTCTGTTTGTTTGCAGACAGTTATTTCATTTGGAGAAAATCCTCTTTACGTGCAGAATCAGAGCAAGTGGTCTGTTCAGTTCAAAATAATTTGCTTATCCACGTTTTATTTCTACAAATTGAGTAGGTATTTCAGCATTTTTTTATTATTTACTACTGGTATTCACATTCATCTTTCCCTCAAATGATTGTTATTGAATACAACTAGATTGGAGCTGGAACGTGAAAAGGCACGTATTAATCAACAGGACCTCATAGCGAATAAAAAATCACTTATTTCGTCCAATCAATATGCCATTTCTGACCATACTACTACTGCCACCACTACCTCTTGGAAGTTTCAGTCTTGTGGACTGTTATGGAGTATACGTAGGCGGTGTAACGGTAACGATGTTTTGAATGCTTCAGAAAAACAGTCATCTGTGAACTGGAAGGTGTTGCTTTCAAATCAAAAGCCACTTACTACTACACTCCACTTACCGAAATATATAAAGTTTCCAGAAGAGATAAGTAAATGGTCGTTGCAAACATCAGATAAACTCTACTGGCTTTGGGATATGAAGTGTATCATGGATGCAGATGATAAAAGTTTTCTTCCTGTATATTATAATTACCGTGACTTTACTGTGATTCCTGACAAGTTTGGATGTGTTGGTAAACAAGAAATTGTAAAGTAAGTATCATATAACTGTTTTTGCTTGTATTCTACCGTCGTTGACTGGATCGAATTGATGTATCTCTATTGGCATATGGATTCCTGCACGGATACCTCGATATTCCCTGTGGTTTTAATTATACGGTAATGATGGATAGCGGCTCGGTGGTCTAGTGGATAACGCTCTGGCGTTCGGAGCGATCGGTCCCGTGTTCGAAGCCCGGTGGGGACAACATTCTCTGGGAGCCAGGTACATCCAGCTGACGAGTTCCAAATATAACGAAGTGCGCATCCTGGATCCCACTGCTAGCCACTATCCATCATTACTATAAGTGTTGTATTGCCTAGTTTAGTCTTCAGGTTTTCAAGAAAATAACTGAGTAAGATAACAATACTGTTTGAACTTGTGCAGAATATCTTAGACCTAGCAATGCTGCTAATTATAAACAGAAATCTAGTAAATCTGTCATAGACGCTGCTTTTATTGCAACAAGTTACAAACAACCTTTTGTTCAATACTCAACACTGACTCAGTTGATACTAATCGTCCATTTTGTAGGGTTGAAAAGTTCGGATTATAAAAGGTAAACTCTCACGGTGAAATCTGTTCTGATCACTGTTTACGATAAAGTACAACTGCGGGCGTTGATTGATGGTCTTATGGGTTAGACTTCAAATCAGATATACAGTCTTGTCGCCCCCTAGATTAGATAAAGGTATTAATAGTATAAGAGTAGGTTTCGATACTGTATTAGAGTACAATTCTAAGTTAAATAATTTTGTCAAATATGAAACACTGGCGAAGCGTTATTAACTGAATGGTTTTTAGACATCAATTTATTCTACATAATCATATCAAGATAATCATACAACTTCCGGGATCTGTTTTTGTACTCCAATAACTTGTCTCTCCTTGCTTTCAGTGATAACGGGATTTTCCGTGTATTCGAAATGGGTTTTACGTGTATTGACTATTGATCGGTGGACAGATTCAGTGATCAACCTTTCTGCACTTCACGAAGTTGGTCTTTGAGACTCGAAATGAACTCAACAACCTTGTGTACATTCGTGCAGCAGGCTTTGAACCATGCCTATTATGAGGGTTAATGATACTACCTGGCTGTCCAAACCTCGGTGGGTGGAGTGTTGTTTCAACCCGTGACCGATTGGTTGAAAGTCACCCCCCCCCTAAACCAATGAGCCACATCTCTACGGTCTTTAAAATTGCTACTCTGTCACACCAAACGGAATGTCAATGCATGTATTATAACAGCCGCCACCATTATGGTTTAAAGACTACTGTTTACAGGAAATCGACATATTCTAATAAATATTTAAACTTCAGATGGGCTCATCCAAAGTCATTTTAGGCGGGTTTGCTCAAATAGTTAGATAATTTAGCTAGAAATCTGATTCGGGAACCAAAGGGTTTAAATAATAACGGTATTATCTCATAGTTCCAGACAAATTGTAGCGTATCTTCAGCCGTCAACAACTACCAGCTCAAATACTGCCAGTGTACTACCTTCAGCTCTCTTTTGCCACACAAGCTTTTAATATGATTATCTACAAATAATGTGGGTTTTCGAAGGACTGTTAGTCCTGTAGTACCTCTTTGAGATCTAACCATAATTCACTGTGTTGAACTTATCTCTCATCTTCCCATTCAACAGACTTGTCATCACAATTCAACTGAATGCTGTCGCACTGGGCTGAGACACTATGAATACTCACTATCCTACCAGGTTACCCAAACCGAAGTAGATAGAACAGAGTTTTAATCTGGAACCTATTAGTTGAATCTTGAGTGACTAGGTTAGTGAGTCAAATCTCCTTATAGTTCTTTTATTGTATGTACTACTAAGTGAAAAGTATTGTTTACCGATATTTAGAGCACAGCTTACTGTTCACAGTAATCATCTGACTTTTTGGTCTATTTTAGTAGTTATGTTTTTCTTTCTTTGATTTGACTGACAGTAAAGTTTCTCACATATCTGGAATTGGCCTTGTATTATTTCTACTGCATGTGTCAGGCGTCGATTCAACAATAATTCCGGAAATGTGTGAAATGTTTACTTCTGATTAAAATCAAAGAATAAAAAGCAGTTAAGCTATATAAACTTGACCAGGAAGTTGTATGGTTACATTGATACAATTATAAGCGATGAATTGTGCTTGAAGTATCATCTGTAAATAACACTGTTTCACTGCGTGACACATTTGATAAAAGAATAGAACTATAGCCCACAACAATTCTCATATTCTACTCTTATATTAATAGAGTCGTATTTCCACTGTCACCGTTCCTATTTAGCTTCCTTACAGACATACTCATTCACATACTCTTAGGTACGTCTGACTTCACAGGGACTGACCTATTCCCTGGAGGTCATCTGATTGACTTGGAGTATGCAAACGATATTATCCTGCTAGGTGAAGATGCTGACAAATGCAGGGTCTTCTGAACGCACGCGTTGGGCAGAAATCTGAACATGTTTGGCATGCGTTTTGCTGGCATCTGTCAAATGTAAGATGATGCTAAGTGACTGGTCTGCTATAAGTACTCCCAGTCTAACGATAAGGAGTGAAGTGGTTGAATGTGTCAAACACTTCACCTACACGGGGAGTTGCATCAGCCCGAACGGGTTGGTTGCTGACAAAATCTCAGCTGAGACGCAGGAGGCTCGGTTGGCATTTGTCAACTTGCTTCATCTGTGGCGCCGACAGACGGGATATCTGACTATCTATCAAAGGACGAGTATACTACACTGCAGTCCGTTCTGCCCTGCTGTACGGCCGTCAAACATGATTGTTAAAAGTACAAGATATCAAGGGGTTACAGGTATCTGTCTACTGGTGTCTTCGTAGCATTGCCTGTGTTTGGTGGAACGACTGTATGAGCAATGTAGAAGTCAGGAGAAGTGTACCAGGAAAGACAGGGAAGTCAACTGATGACGTTCAGTCAAATGAGATGGCTTTGACATACAGTGCGCATACCGAGCCACTGCCTACCTCGATGTGGAATGCTACATGAAGCTAGATTAGGTTGGAAGATGGTTTAGAGTGACCAGAGTGAATATTCGCAATAACCTTTATCTTCACATTGTTTATTCTCTCATGCAACTTTACTTTCTTCGATATTAGTCTTTTTCTATCCACCTGTTGTTTGTGTAGTACTGTGAAGTGTGGCAACTTGAGCCGACGCACTTAAGTGCGAGGTTCTACATTGATTTTGTCAGTCAGTCAGTGTCACATTTTAGGGTAAAAAGCTTAGTTACATATTATGGAAACTAAGTATCAAACCTAGGGAGACCCAAAGTTAACTGTAGCTAATCAATGGCGACTGACGGGCTAGGATAAGAGATAATATTAGGTAAGTAGTCTAGGATTATTGACCGGAGTATCATCTGTGGTACGAAAGTCAGATGTAATCTTCTGTCCTAATTTTTATAAATGCAGAACTGTCCTCTTGTGGTCTGATCCGTGATCAAATTGGTTCTTAAGGTTCTAAGACTGCTTTGAATACGTGTATACACTGTTATTGTTGGTTTATTGGTGATTTAGATTTAAGCGTTCACTATTTTGTTGAATAAAATATCCAGTTGTTTTTGCACTTTTGCAGTGGATGCTTTCAAGACCATAAATAAAGTATCATATAACTAGCTTAATGCTGACATTTGATGATTAGTGTTTCATACTCTGGTATTTAGTTTCATGGCAACCAGGCTGTTATCGTTTTCTTTTACTTCTAGCGCATTCTTGAGTTGTCCTCAAATTCATTCAAACCTAGTATCTTTTGGATGGATTGATAACCATTATTCCCAGATAATGTGGAAAATTGGCACTATTGCTTTGTTGTATAGTGATTTGAGCACAACATTACTCAGTGATTATTGTATACCTAGTCACGTGTTAAATGAGTTACACTATCGTTACGATCGTGAAATTGAAGGTTGTCAAAGGTAAGTGTTCCATTGATTTATGATTACTTTCTCATTATCTTTTCCTGTGTTGTATTTACTAACGAGACTGTTCACAGAATTCGCAAAGCTGTGATTCATTGGATTAAATAGTCAGCTTCCAGTCATTGTTTTACTGATTCACATTGGTAGGCAAAAAATATCATCTATCTCCCTACCTAGTTCATTAACTCTTACACTACATCGGACAGATTGGTTGACTTTTTCGTATCTATCTACATGAACATCAACTAGGAGTGAATGAAGCATCATGATTATCTTTGCTCATATCAATGCATACGGACAACTTTGGACATAAATTTGACTGGGAGAATGTGGAAATCCTGGATAGAGGAAATACAAAGAATGCCAGAGAATTTCTAGAAGCTTGATATCAGGTCAGTCAGCGGGCAACAGACATATTGATATTGACCAAATCTATCAACCAATAGCAAACAACAAGAAGGTCAAAGTTCACGCCAGTAGGACAACCAATCAAAATGAATATGGCAATAATGAGAAGACTTTGGCAGAAGCAACCAATCACACAATGCCATCAGGACAAGCTACTAAGCTACTCATAGTGAAAACCCTATAGCTCATTTCTTTCTGAACTTTGTGCTGATTATGTTGTCTAGAATGACACTGAAAGCCTGGCGATTAAACCAGCCAGCCCGGGGACTACAACACCATCAAAAACGTGTACACCATTTCTGAATTTATATATATATATATATATTCTTTTATACCTATCGACTTAATATTCATAAAAGTTGTATTGAATTATCTGTATAACAACCAACTGCTTGGAGATTTTCATTTAGCCTGTTAGCACGTTGTTGCACGGAGGTGGTAAATAGAAGTGTGCATACTATGGTGTCACTGCCAAATCACGTGACATAAAGGTCCAACAGAATAGCTTCTGAGCTTTTCAAACATCACTTGTTGTAACTGGTCATCATCAGTGTCAACATAGGACCAGGCATTAATGCTTAACGGTCCGAGTTGCCTCACCTCATATCACTACATCAAGTAAAAATCCAGTGAAGTGCAACATGAACATAAGAAAATTCACTCAAAAGAAATATAAAGTGCGAAAAGAAAGAAACGATGAATGACATAATGGTGAGATTAGGTATAGCATCGTGAAGATGAGGATAATGTGTGTGTGTGTGTGTGTGTGTGTGTATACATCTGCGCCACTGACATCCGTTCTCAGCCATGTGATCACCTACAGTCTCCAATCACTGGTTCCTCTTGTCCCATGCACCCCAACCACCTAGTCTGTATCGTCCCCATACATGGCTCAAACCAACAGTCAAACACTTTATACATCGATGCCATGTTTTAGTCTGGTCACCTCGAGCCTTTTTCCAGTCTGAATCTACTTCAGCCAACATTGTGTGACGAGGCAATCGGCGACTGGTTAGGAGATACGGAATTTCATAGTAACTGTAGCGTGCTATCGTGCGTGTATTAGCTCATACCAAATGAGAAGACTAAAGAGGATGGTCACGAGTTTGTTAATATTGTAACTAGTCATACATCTGCTGTTCTAGACATGATCACAGAGATTTGAATGAACTTACCTCAAGACTACAAAGTTTTTGATTTCTTCTTAATATTCCGAATTGTATCACTCGTTAGACAACCTATTTCAAACTCTTCTGATAATTTATAGTAACTTATGTCAACTTTTCACCCTATTTTTCATAGAATTGCTTGTTTTGTTTAATGTTAACGTACAAAGTAGTAAATTTGTAGAGAAAAAACACCCTATAGTAACGCCTATCCTCATGCTGATGCAAATTAGCTACACAGTACACGTTTATGTACTATGCTATAGGACGTAACTCGAAATCAAAATGCACTCAGCAGCCTTGTGCAGTGGGTAATGAGCCACATATATTGTGTGAGGGCTAGTAATACTACCTGGCTGCCCAAACGAGGCTCGAACCCGTGACCGATTGGTTGAAAGTCATCTCCTTAATTCAATGAAGTACAGCACAGTGGCACGTGACATAACCTGATTACGTAAGTTGGGGTGGGGAGATAAAAGTAACACTAATCAAAGTCAGTTAGTTTACCATTCATCTGATCATTACTTTCGAGCATTCCATGGTTTTCTGTGTTTCTCTAGGTGACGACAACTAGTGATGTGATCCATCTTCATTCCATTTACGTTTAAAAATCCAGTTGTGCAGCCGTTTATGAAATAGTTCATCCGTTGTCTTTTTTATGCATTTGGTGTCCTCTTGGTTCAGTTTGTGCCTGTCTTTGAAATATCTATTGTTTTTTTTTGGCGAAAATTCTATATTTCTGTAGAGTTGCCTAAACCACAAGGTGTAGTAAAAATTTGTTTTCTGCTTTTACCACATAGTCGTACCATATAATAATTGAAAGTTAAATAAAACGGAAATTTTTTATTAGCTAATAATGACTGAGTTGACCAGGGGAGTGACTCTAAAAGCCAATTAGTTTTTTCTTTATTCCGGTTGAAAAGGCAGACTTTCATAAAATAAAGAAGTCTGATTGGTTATTTCAGTAGTTATTAGAGTGACCTTTAAAGTTACTCGACCAGGCTATGCATGCCATTTTTTAGTCGAGTTTCGTTTGTAGATGCATTCAGAATAACACTTAGCAATGTATTTAGACGAGGTTAATATCAGAGTTTATCCGTAAGAGGTGATTAACGAGAATATCACTAATTCCATCTGGTAATATCTTATTTTTTTGTAAAGGTTAATAGGCAGAAGGAACATCACTTCTATCGAGGTTGCTTATACGCCTTGCTGACAAGGGCCAACAAACATGAAACCTATGTCCAGGACTTCCTGTCAGTTGCCTCCAACTAAACTAACATCATAAACATTTGTAATAGTAAATATAAAAATTTTTTTTGGATGATACTCTTGTATCGCATGTGCAATATACCTCGACATGGCGTGTTTTGTCAACAATCTGAAGGATATCTGCACTGAATACTTAGGGAATTATATAACAGTATGATAAGATAGTGATCACACGTTAGCAAATACAATGGTTTAACAGGCTGGATTCAGGAACTACAAATGATGTGCGGATCAAATTGCAATGCTATACTACCCATCATCATAGAACATAGCATAGAATGGCAGTTAACTCTCTACCTCAATTTCATCGATTTCGAAAAGGCCTTCGACAGCATCGACCGACAAGTAATTTGACAGCTGCTTCAACACTACGGTTTTAGAGCCACAAACCTTTATCGACCTCATTCAACAACTATATGACGACGCCACATTCCAAGTGATTCACAGTATAAGCTCAGTGAAGCCTTTGAAGTGAAGTGAAGACAGGAGTAAGACAAGGCTGCCGTCTACTATCACCGATGATCTTTCTTGATTGTGGTCGACTGCATCATGCAGCAAACTGTGAGGAGCGAGAAGATGGGCATACGCTAACTGAACTGATGAAAAGACCCCAGAAGATTTGGATTTCGCCGATGATGATTTATGTTTAATGTCTTGTGGCATAAACTCGAAGATCTACAGGCGAAAACCAACAAGTTAGGAGAAGAAACGGGGCGAGGCAGCGAAGACAGGATTTCCTTCAGTTGAACGTGGAGAAGACAGAGGTGATGAAGATACTCAATCAACAACAAAAAAACACCAATCACCATGAACGGGAGAAACCTAAAGGAAGTTGTCTCTTTCACCTACCTGACAAGGTGCTATCCTCTCAACTACAGGTGGAGGCAAAGATGAGGATGTCATAGCCAGGATCGGAAAAGCAAAACAGGCTTTCATTAATCTGAAATCACTGCACTCAGCACAAAGAACAAGATCCGGATTTTCAACACCAAGTCAGTCAAGTCAGTGCTGCTATATATAGTTCAGAATCTTGGCGCGTCACTACAGACATTCATCAACAGCTGACACCTACGTTCGCTCAATACTGAAGATCAGATGGCCAGAATAATAAGAATAAACAACAAGGAACTCTGGTTGGCTGGCAACGAACCAACGAAGCAAGAACCTATCGCCCAACAAATATGCAGAAGAATGTGGAGATGGATTGGGTTGGGTATACACTGAGAAAGCCATTCGGAGACATCATACGTCAGTCTGGACCCTCGAGTGGAATGCAGGTGGGAAACGATGAGTTGGGCGTCCGAGGTGAGGGTGACATAGAGGAGATGATGTGGAGAAGAAATGAAATCTTATGGGCAGGTAGTCGTGGAATCAGATTGAAAAGACTGCAGAGAATAGAGTGCAATGGAGGCGTGCTACTGAAGCCCTGTGTTCCACTAGGAACCCAAGGGACAAATAATAAAAATAATAATGGTAAATACAATAGTTTTAAGGTATGAAGGAACATTGCAGAACTTGTACAGAGTACTCATCATATTCCGTTTTCGTAGCTTATTTCTTACATAATACATGTCATTATGAATACATGCTTAGATGATTTAACTTGTTTAAGATTTTCGTTTCGATTCCGGTGAGCTTCAAACATTAATTAGCTCTTCACATCAGCAGTTGTATTCTTGGTCTCCTTTTTTCAAGGTCAGCACTTCGAAAAATAGTTGAACAGGATGATACAGCAGCACGACGTTTAATCTTGTGTGTCAGTTACTTGGAAGTTTCTGAGAAATGTGTAAAGGTTAGTATCTTTATCAAATAAATCTGCTTTCGTTATTTAATTCACTGAAAGCAAACAAAACTTTTTGGGTGATCTATTGTTGAAAAAAAGTTACTAAATTATTCTTAAAAACTCAAATTTTGTCCGTTGCCAATTAATCTGATAATTGTTCGGTGTTCTAGAATCTTTGGGGAATGTTCTTGAAAATTTTATCTCCCGGTCAAGCGACTTCATCTGGATATATGAGGTAACTGCTGATGATGTAGCCTAACTTGGTAAAGAAACATCCAAGAATGAACTACAAAACTTGCAGAATAGCGAAAAACTATCATTATCATCCTGGTCTACAAATATTCGTTACTACAATAAATTAATCTTTCTGAAATTTTTAAACGACGTATAGAAATCAAACTTAGCTTCATGAAACTGGCATCCCAAATGTTACCATAATATATCCCATAGATTTATAATCACTCTACTGGAAACACTATTGAGTTATTGATGAATCTGATCGTAGTTACTTCTTCATTAACTTGTTCTGATCCGTTGGTGGCGTTCAATTTCACATGATGTTAAATCAGGTTTACTTTGGTTCATAATGACTATTGTATGAGCTTCTAGTCGATAAATTAGCAGTAGATGAAGTTGATGGAATCGATCTTCAAGTGACCGAATGAGTTATTCAGGTGTATGTAACTCAAAAAGATACCGAAAGGCGAATGTACTCAAACTGTACACGAACACTACTGCCCCCTAAGATTCCATATATTTCAATGAGTAGCGAAAGTATCAAAATACGAAGGCTTACCATTGACTGTGAGTGCGATCTTTATTACACAAAAGTTTACCAAACTATCCGCTCAATAAAGTCATCCTGATGACAGCATCATTGATCAAAATTAAAACCTCAGTGGTTGGCTACCTCTCACTCATGTTATTCAATAGTACGTTTCTTTAGTTCACGACACTTTCTTGTTATAGATCACACCTTTTGATCTGGGCTGGGTGGTTTTCAACCGAAACTGTGTTCATACTAGTATGTTTGGTATAACACATAGTGATATAGCATTATTTGCTAGATGTTGTTTTGTGCAGAATTTATCACTCGTAATAATATCAAGGTAATCACACAACTTTTTGGTCTGGTTTTTTATTGTTCTTTTTTTTCTGATTTAATTGGTAGTAAAACTTTCCACTCATCTGGACTTGGTATCGCTTCCTTTCGATTGCACGTGTTAGTCATTGAACCGATGAACAGAGATTCAGCGATCAACCCTTTTTTCTGCTTAGTCACATTTGCATTCAGGACCCATCCTATTGTGTGGTTGTGTGTTATAACATGCATAGCTATGACTGAACTCTTCTCTAGATTACTCATCTTATCAGAGCCTATCAATCTAGACTTAGCTAAGTTCCTATGTTCTGTTAATCTGATTGACACCATTCGGCTAGTTTTACTTCAGTTGTTGGACGGTACTTGGTAAATTAAATTATTCTGTCTAATTGAGACTATATAATCCTTAAACCAACAAAGCTTGTCTCTTAGTGAGTTTGTAGATTTGAATGCCACCCTAATGGTAGCCTTGTTGAGAATCCTATGTAGAGTTTCTGATGTCTCTTCCGCACATAGTAACACTACAGACGGTCTGAATTCCCTCTTATTCGTGTTGCAATCATCCCTCACATTTCACATGAAGTTACGTTCTACGCAGTGCCCAAATCCTACGCTTACAGTTGAGCAGTAGGAAGACTATTTAGTTATAAAAAATTACAAAGTGGATCGTGCAGTTTGTAAGTAATTTCCAAGTCTATCATCCTGTTCATTACATTAGTTTGCTTTTACCGAGCAAAATCAGTATAAATTCATCATTAATCAGTTCAGTCACAAGGAGTTGGTCCAGACCAGCCCTGAAATATCATCGTACGTTTGACAAGTGCAGGATGCATCTCAATCATACTCGAGTTTTTGTTCAAAGCTTCTAGAAAACTGTATTTCATCAATATCGTTACCGAATACGATTATATTGTCTGCATCCTGTAAGTTGACCAAGTGTCCTAATGGTGGTCAATTGATATGAATTCATCTATGATCATGGACACCGCTAGTTTTTATTACCTCAGACACAAGCTCTTCGTAGGCTCTTACACGGCTGTGTAAGTTCGAGTAGATAAAATATTTTTGCTCGGAACTCACCTCAGTCAGAAACTCTCACTACACTGCTTGGTCGATGAAGTCGGAAACTGGTTGCAGATTGAGAAATATGCTAAGTGTTTGGTATCAGTGAGTTTACCCGTGTTTCAAAACCTTTCGGTCGATAAAATTCTCACCGATCCACTCTGGTCGAAATCTGAAACCTTCCTCCTCTTCTCAAGATCTAATTCAGGCATTGAATAAATGTGGACTCCCAGACAGTACTTTGTTTCGTTTCAAGTTGGAAAACACCCATTTTATTTTCGCTGTGGGTTAAAAGACTGATATCCACATCCTCTTTGGGGAAGACTAGATGTTGAGCAACTGAAGTCGGATTATTCTTCTCAGTGTTTCATCTAACATTTTAGCTGCGTCAAAAGACGTTGTTAGTATTATTGATCATCATCTTGTTCGTAACGCTCTTTGGCAAGATCTGAAAATTTTCTCGTGTTGCCCAGCACTGATGCCTCCTCTCTCGTTCATCTACACTGTCCAGCACTGCTTGAGTACTGATAAAACTATGAGAGTGGTTTACACTTCTCAGCTGCCCAAATCGCTGATACTTCGTTAAGGTTAATAAATAGTGGTACCTTATCTCAGATTCCACGAGGCATCCGCTTTCAGCTTGTTATGCACGGCCCTTTTGGAAGTTTGAAATTTAGCTTTGATTGATTTTCATCCAGCTAGAAAATATACTGTCGTATAGGAGGGAGTAGGTTATTCTTCGGGCTGACCTTTCTAACCTCATTTCCCACAGGGAAGGCCGCATTGGCCATCCACTGAGAACACATTACTACTACCACACTCCATCCATCATCATTACGGCTTGGCCCTCAAGACCCACCCCCCATCGCAGCGTAGTCATTTACAGTATATCTGTTAGGGGTGTCTGATCCCTAAAAAACTAACTGATGATATTTATATATTTTCATCATAACACTTAAACTTTATTTTCGCCCCTTTTCCGCTCTATGTAGTCCTACTTATTTTTACCGCAGTTCACGATACTAAACGCTGATTAGTCCATTTTACATTTTTAACATATTATTTTGTATTCCCTGGTCAAGCCCCCTAAAAGGGTATATAAACGACTGAACTCTTAGCTACTATCACACCGTCTGGTTGAAGTAAATATACTTTCAATCTCATTGTCCTTTTCTTCTGATATCAGCTGAATATCGTGTTAAGAAGCCATTGTTGTATAGTTAGTCGTATCGCGTCAGAGCACCACTTCGTTCATATGTATGTATATATATATATATATATATATATATATATATATATATATATATATATATATATATATATATATATATATAACGCAGATCAAAATAATATCGGTGACTACTTCTTATCTTACCACTATCCAACTGACCTATCTGGTATGTTATTACCTCAGAAGGGCAAGTCTTGGCATCAACATAGCTCGTTGGATCATTGTGATGTGCAAGTTCGACCACCACCTCAAGTTGGCAGTTTATCAGTGGGGACTAAAACATTGCATCGGTGATGGTCACTTTTTTTCTTACAGATCTGCTCTACTGGAACGCCCGTAAACAGCTGTCGGCTAGTATCCAGTTGAAGAGTATCCCTTCTGATGTAGAAATTTATGCTAAACCTACACTAGTCAGTCTGTGAACACTAACCATCGAACCTTTAAAGACTCATAAGTTGAGTTTTTCAGATTCACTCCATCAGGCAGATGAGACTAAATGAATGACCACATTTGGGTCTTTTATGCGTAGCTTAGAAACATAGTATACATTCATAGGTAGAAATTTCAGAGTTGTGTCAAAAGAGACCCATTTTCTGGTTTGGCATTGGATTTAAATCGTGAAAGCTCTTACATGAAATTAGCAGTATTTCTCGGATTGACTTTTTTCAACCCCTCATATTGCAAAAGTAACACAGCTTGAGTCGTGGTCATCTGAGGAGAACACTTTACTGCCGTCAAACTTCTATACAGTCAGCAGCATGACTTTACCCTTAGATTCCCAATGTAGTATGAATTATTTACACTGAAGATGGCTGCTTTTAATCTTGTCACCATCCAAAAGATTTTTTTGTTATGTTTGCGGCCTGAGGAAACAATCGTTCCAGTCAGGGCATCTTATCAGGTCATTCGGATATCAAAAGCCAACCATAAGGTCAAGGTAGCAGCTGTTGTTTAGATTCGATCGTTTCCCGAAATTTTTATTGTAGCTCCTGGTCCCTTATGCCACATCACTAGTCGTTGAACAAGAGCATAATTCACAGGTTATTTTGTCTACTCATATATGCAACAATTTAAAGTTAGACAACCAGATGTTTAGAGGCAATCAGCAGGAAGCTCTGGACCTTGATTTCGTACTTGTTGGAACTTGTGAGCAAGCGCGATTTCTAGGTTCAAGGTTTTCTGCCAACTGTAATCTATCGGAATTCACCATGATGCCGAGTCTTCTAACTTGCTAACCCGATCATATTTCAAAATGGTCGATAGACTTCCGTTAGCACTTAAGACTAAACAACAGGAAATCAGCTACCCGCTAGTGACCAATCATTGTGGAATAAGTGTTTCTTACCTCCATCGATGCTTCAGCATACACTATGTTTTCTCACTCACTGTGTTTCATATCCAGCTCTGAACACTCATTTTACGTTTCTTTTTTTCCAAGTCCTAGGACTATCCCAAGTGGCTTTTCAAACACAATTTATTGGTATATTGATTATGAGCAATAATTTTTTCTCATTTAGTAGATAATTACTGTCTCAGTGACATGGAACTATACTCTACCACTGTACTTATGTTCTACTCTCGTTTTGATTTCTTTTCCTAACCAACTTTCTGATCTTTAACTAGGTACCAACTGAGTACAATTTGAAATTTTTTTTCAACGAAAAAATCTCACTTGACTATCCATTATAAGTATTGTCTAACGGAATCGAATTTATTGGTCACTTATGGAGAAGTCCATTTATGTACTTCATACAACTGGTTTCATATCTTGTAGATGAGATGTTAGTAAATAACTCTATACTTCAATTTTGCGTCTATTTATTATTATTATTACTATTATTATTATTATTATTTGTCCCTTGGGTTCCCAATGGAACATAGGGCTTAACTAGCACCTCTCCATTCCACTTTGTTCTCCGAAATCTTTTGAACCTGGCTCCACGACAGCCCACAGGCTCTCATTTCCTCCTCGCACGGTCTCCTCCATGTCACCCTCGCCACGGATGTCCAACTCGTCGCTTCCCATGCGGATTCCACTCGAGCAACTGGCCTGACGCGTGATGTCCCCAGTCGGCCTTCTCAGTGTATGCCCAATCCATCTCCACTTCCTTACAGTGCATATTTGTTGGGTGATAGGTTCTTGGTTGGTTCGTTACCGGCCAGAGTTCCTTGTTGCTTATTCTTTCTGGCCATCTGATCTTCAGTAGCGAGCCAGCGTAAGCAGTTGTTGATGAATGTCTGTAGTTTATTGGAAATGCCTTTCGTGACGCGCCAAGTCTCTGAACCATACAGAAGCACTGACTTGACGTTGGTGTTGAAAATCCTGATCTTGTTCACGCTTTGTGCTGAGTGCAGAAGATCTCTACACTGATTTCAGGCTAATGAACGCCTGTCTTGCTTTTCCGATTCTGACTTTGACATTCTCGTCTGTGCCTGTGCCGCCTGTAGTTGAAACAGTGCTTCCTAGATAGGTGAAGGAGGTTACTTCCTTTAAGTTCCTCCCGTTGATGGTGACTGGAGTTTGTTGTTGTTGTTGTTGTTGGAGTTGTTGGTTAGGTATCTTCATCACCTCTGTCTTCTCTACATTCACTTGAAGTCCCGTCTTCGCTGCCTCGCCTCTTCTGCCAACTTGTTAGTTTTCGCCTGTAGATCTTCAAGTTTGTGTGACATCAGGCACAAGTCATCGTTGGCGAAATCCATGTCTTCTAGGTTCTTTTCCGCAGTCCAGCTAGCGTATCTTCCTCTTCTCGCTCCCCACTGTTTGCTGCATGATCCAGTCGACCACAATCAGGAATATGATGGGTGATAGTAGGCAACCTTGTTTCACCCCTGTCTTCACTTCAAAAGCATCACTGAGCTTCCCATTGTGAATTACTTGGCCAGCATGTGGCATTTTCATATAGTTGTTGAATGAGGCGGATAAAGGTTTGTGGTATTCCGTAGCATTGAAGCAGTTTCCAAATTACCTCTCGGTCGATGCTGTCAAAGGCCTTCTCAAAGTCGATAAAGTTGAAGTGGAGGGTTGACTGCCATTCTATACTCTGTTCTATGATGATGCGCAGTGTAGCGTTGCAATTTGGTCTGCACATGATTTGTACTTCCTGAAGCTTGCCTGCCTGTTCCAGTCGTAGTTTTGAATCCAGTGCATCCTTTAGTCTCTCCAGGATGATGCTGCTTAATATTTTGCTTGCTCCGTGTGGACTGGAGAGTGATTCCTCGCCAGTTCTTGCAAACACTGAGGTCTCCCTTCTTCGGCAGTTTGACAAGGCAACCCTTCTTCCAATCAGTGGCCAGGTACCTTCTCTTCCTTCCACACCTTCTGCAATAGTGGTGTGAGCATATCCGCTGTTGTCTCTGTGTCTGTTCTCAGTGCTTCTGGTGGGATCCCATCTGGTCCTACTGCTTTCCCACATTTCAGTAGCTTTATGGCGTTCAGGACATGCATTTTCGTTGGAGGATTTATGTTCACTTGTAGTTCAGTGGCTGGGCTGCAGGTGGTATTTGTGGACGAAGTGCAGGTGGTGGTGGTGGTGGATTCAAGAGCTTCTTGAAGTGGTCAGCCCATTGTTTCCTTTGTTTCTCTTCTTTCGTAATCAAATTTCCGTTATCATCTTTTATTGGTTTCATCTGTATTGATCTCTTCCCAGATAGCAACCTGGTTATTTGATACAATGTTATCAGGTCTCTGTCTCTCCTACCTGCAGCCTGTTCTGCTTCACTTGCCAGTGTTTCATAGAAGTGTCTTTTGTCTTTGCGTGCACTCTTCTTCACTTCTTTGTCCAGTGTTTTATACATTCTACTCAGTTCCTCTTGTCGTTGAGCATCCTTGCACTGGTTTATCTTCTGCTTCACCATCCTCCTCTCCCAGCTCTATCAGCTTCCATGTATCCATTGAGATCCATTTCTTGTCTTCTTTCTTCTTCCTTCCTAATACGGTTGTGTTCATCCACACAGGTTTCTTCAGGGATGTTCCTCGATATCTCCCATTTTGTCTTGATGGCTGCCGTGAAGATTTCCTTTGTAGTTTCATCCTTCAGTTTCCGAGTGTTGTACTTGAACTGTGGTCTATCACCAGCTTCCTTGAAGACTTCTAACTTGATTTGAAAGGTTCCTTGTACTAGATAGTGCGTTGTCTGAACCTGCATCTGCTCCCCTTCTTCACCTTGTGTCAAGTAGACTGCGTCTCCATTTTCTTGAGATTGAGATAAAGTGGATTTGATTTTCAGTGTGTCCATCTGGTGAAATCCATGTCGCTCGCTTTGTAGATATCCTAGTGCTTGAACACACTGCCTGACTCCAATCACCAAATCGTTGAATGCACAGAATTCTGCAAACAATTCTCCATTCTCGTTCATCACCTCACCGAGTGCTTCTCGACCCATGGTTAGTTCTCTTCCTGTGTTGTCCCCTCCCAGTTTGGCGTTCATGTGGCCCATTAGAATTTTGATATCGCCAACTGAGATGGGGTCTTGTCCAGTGTTGATTGAAGTTGTCTGTAGAATTCCTCCTTCTTCTCTTGCTCTGCATTATTTGTAGGTGCATAGCGTAGCATTGTATGATTGTGACCTTCCTTCCTTTTGAGTTGAATCTATCTTGCTGTCATGATCCTGCATGAGGAGATTGGTTCCCACTGCATGAGAGCCTTCGGTGCTGTTGGGGACATCATGATAGCCAGTCCACAACTCAGTGTGCTCGTGGTTGTCGTCTGGGTGACAACATGGGAGTAAATTATTGATTCTCCAGTTGACAGTTTGGAGAGTCCACTCCCATTCCATCTGCTTTCGCAAATTCCAAGCACTTCAATGTGATACCTTCTCATCTCTTTTGCAATCTGGGCTGCCTTGCTGGGTTCAAACATGGTGCGGACATTCCATGTCCCCACGTTTACTTTCGCTTTCATCGAGGGAGAGAAGACACATCGGCTGACTGGCTTCCCGAAGGCTTTCACCAACTGGCGTCATTTCGCCTCTCCGATTCGAGCGAGGAATAATTTTGTTTTCATTTTTTATATTTTGTTTGTGCTTTGAAGTTTGTTTAGCAGTTAGATTTGTTTTACGGTGTAGGGTTGCTAGCCCTATGCCCAACCTTCCCTCTTTATTGGGGCTTATGACCGGCTAGTAACTAGTGAACTAGTTAACCAGGCGAGGTTGTGTCTACTCCCCCATAATATCCATTTGTTTTGTTTCCCGACATTGATAACTTAAGTTATATTGAGCTGTAATGTAAAAATGTGTTTTAGTAACCCCTACCAAGTCACAGATTTAAAGTGCTTTTATTGGAATCCTGGATTTTTTTCAACCCGCTCAGCCTGCTTTTAGATACGAATATATGAAGTAGTTAAAATGCTTGATATACTACACGTTAATTATATTTTTCATCAATATACTTATTTATAATTCAAGGCTTGTTTAACAGATGGTTGGTATCAGATATCCTGGAATCCAGACCCTATGCTAATCACTCTAATCAAAGCTGGGAAAATTCGCGTTGGTTCTAAGCTTGTAACTGCAGGTGCTGAATTAATTACAACAGATCCTTTATGTACTGAAAATCGATCGAAAAGGAATTGTTCTACTAGTAACACTTCACGGGATGAGTTCAGGCATTTGTATGGAGATGATAGTACAGCTATCGGAGTATCATTAAAATTGCATGGGAATTCCACACGACCTGCCTCTTGGCACTCACGCTTAGGATTCTCTGTAAAACAACCTAGTTCAGGTTCTGGTCTGTATCCTGTACCGCTGTGTACTATCAGTTCAGATGGAGGACTATGCAGTTCGATTCGTGTTGTAATCCAAGTATGTTCTTTGTTATTTTTGTGTAAGTCCTTTCCATCTCAGTAAGCTTGTTTCTTAATCATTATGTATATTATGATAGTATTATATACATTCAACGCACCCTATCAAAGTGCAGGGAATCAACAAGACTATGCAAACTATAGTTGTTAGGTGAAGAAAATATATAAAGTTAAGGATAAAAGATGGTAAAAATGTTTAGGAATATAAAGCCCTAATTGCTTTATGTAATTATCACACATTATCTTTAGCAATGGATTCCAGTTATCGCATGGACTCAACCAAAAAGTAGTATCCCTCGTACAACCAAGTTCGACTGGCAGACTTCATAAATTGCTCTACTCTGACTATGTTGAAATGTGTTTCAAAATATGATACTGAACAACATGATTAATTCAAAATCACTCATGCTGATCTACTAAGTTTGTGAATCCAAATCAATAGGATGTAGAAACAACATGGTCAGCTCACTCATTTAGGACCGAGCTCATCATCAGTGCACTGGGACATATTCAGCATGAGCCTTGCAATTTCTGGATAATTTGTTATCTAGTCATCCGGTTTATGGAGCTTCTTTTATTATGCTCTCTAATCCTGTAAATGTAGTGCGTTTAAGTGAGCGACGACTAAAGTTGCCTATTACATCAGCTCATTTATCGCCTTTACCTTTTCTCTGAACTTCTGTATCACTCACACACTGAGTCCATTATTTGTTAGTGATGCTACGAAGATGATTGTGATCAAAGACCTGTAGGTGATTAAACCCTTGTCTCTATATGAATCTTCGAAGAATAGCGTGGGATTTACTACGATTTCAAATTTCATGAATACACAAGAAAGCGAACACCAAGAATATTGTCACGTCGAATTGAAATGAATATGAAAAAACTCGCCGAGTTCTCCTACCTGAGGACTCTTGTGACATTACATTTTCTTAGATAGATAGGATTGATTTCCTTTCTTCGACTATTACTTATACGTAGAGATGTTGCAGATTCACTTAAGCACTTGATTTTCAAAGAATGAATCCGACTTTAAAATTCCACTCCATTTATATTGACTTGGGTAATAAGTGTAGCACATAAATTAGTAAATGAATCTATATTGCATTGCTAAATCGTATTACTCTGTAATTAATTTGCACTCCACATATCCGAATGTGTGCACTATCTAAGCTGTGCATCGATTTCGATTAAGAGTTACACGCCAGCTGGTATGACGCTATATCTTAATCGGCCACTTTCAAGTGTTACACTTTTTACGTATCCAGTCAGTGTCTTTGATTTAGCTTACTTTCTCCGTTAGCTGTAAAATAAACAATTCCTTTAAAAGATTGCAAACTGTGATTGTTGTTATTAGTTAGAGTTTTGTGGACAAATACAGAATTGATATGAAAAAATAGTCAGTACTAGAAATGTCTTTTGTTGGAAAACTTAAGTGATTGTAGGTTCTCAAGTGAGTTAGGTTGTTCAGTTTTATGCAACTAGTCATTATTTGTATGGCGTTCACCTTGTTTGTCTTAAATTTCCTGCTTTTGACTCATTTTCGCGATAAAGTTGCTATGACCGCTAATGCGAACCTAACGCGCAAAAAAATCTTCTCTAATCGCTAATCAGAACGTCAACCACAACAACAATCTCGCCACCAGCACGTGAAGACAAAAAGAGAAGACAGACCGTTGACAAAGATCTTTTATTGTCTCAACAACAGTTAAAACAGTTGGGAGCTGTGCTGAATGTAAACCTTCTGAATGACCTTGAAAAATACTAACCTCACTGATAAGTTAAGAACGTTAACAACCAATCAGATTTCAACCTTCGGAAACTGGGGGGGGAAGCTAACAACAGCGCCAAGAGGGCGCGAAAACAGCAATAATAAATTAATTTTAAGGTTATACGAAAATATCAAGCAAAATTAAGGACATATTACAGAAGTCACAAAGTAAGAAAGTTTTAAATGATATTATTTTGCTGCACGCAATCAGAGTTCATTTTTGTTAACGTCTTAGAATATGGATCTCAGTTGTGGCGAAAAACTTGGAAATAACACATCCCATTAGTAATAAAGACTTCAAATGAATAAAATTTTGTTTTTTTTACCATTATTCCCTAAAAGCGTCGATATTCTTTGCAATATATGGAGACATTGGAGGTTCCCGAGCAAAATACAGATACGTCAGCCACTTTGGTACGGACAAATTCTGGTACAGATGAATCATTTTTAAAGTCTCGTCTGAATCGTCGTCGAATTTTCCGTAGTGAACGGGCGGAGGAGGCAGAAGTTAGATTACATGAAACTATGAAAAGTCGGATTATTGATAGTGCTTTGGATAAGCTTGTATTCAATGATCCAAGTATGTCCGAAATATTATTATGATGATGATGATCAAGATTTGAGTGTGAATAGTGTTAGATATGTTGACGACCTCGAGAAAAGTTGACATTACACATAGATTATATCTTTATAAGTCACAGAATGTTTAATATAAAATAATGATTCCGAAGTTTCACACCGTAATCTGTTTGGATCTCCTTCAGGAAACTAATAAAAATTAAAAAATTAAATGTGATCAAAAATGTGCATCTCCATGTTCAATCCTGTTTTGTATAGTCACAGTTTTTAAAATGTTATTATTAATTACTTATAATCCATAGTATATATAACGATACAATACTCCAATGCGATACGATTAACGGTAGAACATTGACTTCTCAACTCGATATTCAGCTGACACCAGAAGACGATAGGATTAGAAGTATATTTACTTTAACCGAATAATAATAGCTGAAAACTCAGTTGTTTATACATCATTGGATGGCCTTGGCCAGGGAAAGCGAAATAGCATATTAAAAGTGTTTGCTATCCTAAACTGCGGCAAGAATAAGTAACATAGCATGGCGCGAAAATAAAGTTTAAATTTTGCAATGATAATATAAACATAAGTTTTTCTTAGGAATTAGGCATCTGTAACAATCACTTACTGTGAAATAGTAATTATCTTATGTCCATATCCTCCTCCTTCGCCCTTCATTGAAAATGTGAAACTAATCGGTCACCTGTGACATTGTAACCATAACTTGATTGTATGTTCATGTACAACTATCCATTAAACGATGTTTGTATATTTTTCAGTGTGTAAGAATGAATTAATATTTACAAATTTCCACTGTGTTATTTGTTAGACTAATGTAGGGACGATTGTTTATGTTCTAGACTAGGTTAATAAGGCAAGTAAGTCATTCAATTTATGGGTATTTCATTGATGCAGATAACTGGGACGTATATATGTATATATAACACATACTGAAACTGTGTTTTCTGAAGTATGACTAATTCACGTAGAAGCTGATCATAACCACTTTAAGACAGCATCAGTTCATTAAGTTTTTAACTATTGACTGAAGTAGATTCCTGTTTGGAAATGCACAGAACCGAAGTTGATGACTGAATATATATATATATATATATATATATATATATATATATATATATATATATATATATATATATGATATTTCCTTCTTGTACTCCACTTTATTCTCTCTTTTCTTATACTTGCTAATACCAACCTTTTTAATGGCAATTTAATAAACAAAGAATTTCTTCTTCGTTAGCTTTCTCCTCAGGTTTGCGATTGAATATCCGTATTATGGTGATCAAAATGTCAATGTACTCACTTCCTTTCAACCTATGTGCTTGCTCTTATACATAATTGTTCTATGTCTTATATTGTTTATACCTATGCAGTTGTCTACATAGCTTGAATTTAATCCTAGAAATGATTAAAAGAAGTGGCTTTCACCAGTATTTCCATGTTCCTCCCTCCAACTGACATCTTTTTGTAGTGTACTATGATCTCGTGTGATCGTAATTGTCTTAAGCGTGTGATTCTACCGATTTGGTCTTAAGGTTGACGTTGCGTTTGATTGGCTTCGCATATACTTACATAGTCTTATATTTTCAAGTGGCTTTAATGGCTCTTCTTACTACAACTGAAATAATCAATCAGGTTTTTTCATTTCCAGTTGTTAGTTCCTTTTATAAAGTACTGTATCTCTGTTTTAAATGTTTATGCATTTAAGGGTGTTTCTGAAACTGGAGTGTGCAACTGACCAAACATTTCTTAAAATAATACTACAGACAGAGTTGTGTAGAAAATATTTTAAGTCATTTATTTATGAATACTAGTCTGCCAAACTACAGCTATCTCAGATAGTCAAATGATGATCAATAGGATGCTCCCTCTCTATAATTCAAGTAGATTTGGATTTGGACGAGAAGTTCTGATTGAGCAGTCAGTGTGAGTACGATCAAGCATCACGAATTCACATGAAGGTGGGACAAAACCCTTGATGACTGAAGTGAAATAGAGATCGTGGCTCAGATAGTAGAGCGTTGGGCCGGAAACCTGGTGGCCACTGGTTCGAATCCGGCGGTGGCCCAAATCTTCATTTCACCTTCAATCATCACCCAGTATCATTTATTTATTATCAGTTTGACTATCTGAAATAAACTGTATTATTAATACCAGATCTCACTACTCATTTGGTAGAGAGCACTGTGCCGGTTACCCCAGAGGCCGTGGATTCGAATTCTGTCGCGATGCAGATTTTCATTTAACCTTCATTCATCACTCAGTATTTATTGATGATTAATAAATATTCCCTTGTATTTTACTATACTTCAGATAAGCGTCGAATTCAACCTACACCCGAACAACTCAACGCTTTGGGCAACGATGGTGAAGCATTACTACATATGATTTTAAATGCTCCAGACTCAGCAGAAGCTGAATCAAATCTCACTTCTATGCAACATGATGCTATACAACTTTATAAAGAGTCTGTTATTCGTGATGCAGTTACTGAAAATGTCCCGCCTAGGCAGGTTTGTATAGAAATTCCATTATATTTACATATATCGGTATTTTGTCTTTCAGTTGTTCGTATAATACCACCTTTAAAGAAAAAAGTCACTGTTTGCAGTATTTAATCTTCAGTTTTCACTTTTAAGATTTAAAACAATTAACTATCTAGTGTTTTTGAACAGTTTCATTGTTTACACTATACTTTCTTTGCCACTAGGTTACACCCCTTCTGCGTTTAAGAGTATCAGGGATTCATCCTAAAGATATTGCCGGTAATTATGGTAAGTTCATAATGGAAATTTCTCATTTAGTTAGTGTATTTTATAGATTATAATGAGTACGGTTTTCTGTTTTGTATCACTCGTTTATCAATGTTCACTTGATCAAAATATACTACAAAACGAATAATGAGGAATTACTATTTTGAAATTCTAAAACTAGGCATGTTTAGTCTCCGTAATACTCACTTCTTCAAGATTAAATTTTCTGGTTATCATTATTATAATCATTTTGACTATCTGAGATAGGTGGGGTTTCACAGGTTAGTATTGATGCTGGGTGATGATTGAAGGTGAAATGAGAATTTGGGCCCCAGCCGGATTCGAACCAGAGACCACCGGGTTTCCAGGCCGATGCTCTACCAACTGAACTACGAGATCCAACTGCTGGCCGGGTTTTTATTTCACTTCAATCACTAAAGGTTGTTTGGTAATCAGTAATTGATCATATTTGGCTTTATGGACCTGATTAACGATAATCAGTGTAGACAGTCTACTGTTCAGCATGAACTGCATACATTCATACCCAGGTAGTCTATTTTTTAAATGATGGAAATGATTATTTCTTATATTTACAACATCCAATTGACTTTGAATTGTTTTGAGGAGATGAATGATGAAGCAATAATATTCGTGTATTGTTTTATTTCTGACTATAGTACTTTTCAGTCTGCAAAGTGTTAAGATTTATATACACATTTTCGCGGTAACTAAGATAAATTCCTCATCCCTTCACAAATTTTGTCTGTTACGAATCCGTTAGTTACACTTCTAATATGTAGCATTGGTTGCCGTAAGTTGATAAAATGTCATTCGCGTATCACTACGTGAGTAACGCAGACGTCAGGGGAATAGTTTTAGGGAGAAGAGGTAAATCAGCTGACGAGATTGTGAATCTTCATCGACTGAAATGGTTAGGACAGGTGTTACGTATGCCTAGCCACCGTCTGCCTCGTCACACAATGTTGGCTGAAGTAGATGTAGACTGGGAAAAGGCTCGAGGTGGCCAGACTAAAACGTAGCATCAATGTATGAAGTGTCTGACTGTTGGTTTGAGCCATGTAGGGGGACGATGCAGACTAGGTGGTTGGGGTGCGTGGGACAAGAGTAACCAGTGGTTGGAGACTGTAGGTGATCACATGGCTGAGAACGGATGTCAGTGGCGCAGATGTATACACACACACACACACACATTATCCTCATCTTCATGATGCTATACCTAATCTCACCATTTTGTCATTCATCGTTTCTCTCTTTTCGTACTTTATATTTCTTTTGAGTGAATTTTCTTATGTTCATGTTGTACTTCACTGGATTTTTACTTGATGTAGTGATATGAGGTGAGGCAACTCGGACCGTTACTCATTAATGTCTGGTCTTATGTTGACTTGGATAAACGGATGGACGATGATTAAGGGACAAATACTCAAGAATGGAATTACTGACTGATTGAGTTGGACCTATAACTACGTTGTTTGGAGCAAATAGATAAACCACTGTTGACATATGGGTTCATTTGTGGGACGCCTCCATATTGCCTATAGTAATAATGAATCATAGCTAGCAAGGGGAATCGAGGATGCACGTTTTATTTTGTCTGGAACTCATCTGGATATATTTGCTTCCCAGTTAGTGATGTTATCCTCACTGAGACTCGAAACCAGAACCCGTTACTTCAAACGCTAAAGCGTTATGCACTAAGCCACTAAACTTCAATAGGGCCACCTACCATGCCCATCGCACATGGAATGGTTTAGTGGATGACGCTCTGTTGTTTGAGTATATGGGTGCTGAGTTCGAGTCCTGGCGGAAATAAAAATGCTAACTGAAAGGCAGGTATATCCGACTGACGAGTCTCAGATAGGACGAAATACAAATACTCACAAGGAACCGAAAATCGATTACTGACTTACCGTCGGCTTAGTGATGTAGTGTCGTTAGAAATATAGAAAGGCTAATGGGTCTAGAGGTAGCTATGAACAATTTGTCTGTGGTGAAAATGAAGGTTATACTAAGTAGACGATAGCTTGTTACCAATGGACATAGGGCTGTTGTCTTCTTACCTACTTTGTGGTCAAGAACGTCAAGAAATTTGATCATTTCATTTTGGTTCACTAACCAAGCTCAGATCACAGTTAAGTATATTGTAATGAAATTCACCGTTGTTTTGTCATTGCCTTGATGAGTCTGACGTTCAAGATAGGAGTTATCAGTATAGAACGTGACATTACTCTAGGTTTACTAATAAGTGCCTTGTGACAGGACTAATCCCTTTGAGGTTAGATGAAGATAGAGACCTCCATAAATACGTTGATAACAAAACTAAATAAGAATGGAGAGAATGTCGTCATTGACGGACACCATTCGACGTACACTGCTCATATCCCGGCCGCCAGTAATATCGAACAGGATTGAATGCGCCGTACACCCTGTCGAAGGAGAGTGCACCACCAGGGAGAGTCCATTTGGAGAAACCTGACTTCATATTCCGGAAGCCGCTCCCGATATCTGGCGTTGTGGCGTACAGGCGTTCTTAATGGACCCAGAGGATCACATTATGGACTCCCTCGACTAGCAACATGGCCAGAAGATTAACTCGTATCCGAATAACACCGCAAGATTGGGAGGATACTAGGAACATCTTACAGTGTTGCCGGTACTTCTAGCTATCTGTTCCACAAGGTGATTCCTATTGCCTGTAAACAAGGTCATTAGGAATGTGTGGGGGTAACAATCACATCATAACAAGTTTACCTGCCTAGACAGACGGCTTAAGAGCTGTTCATGGTCTTTTTATGGAATTATCCGCCCTCCCCGCCCCTCCGTGGTTTGCCCCCAACAGAAAGCTGGCCGACACGTACTTGCATCACGCCAGATGTGTGCTTCAAATCACCTCCTCTGGTCAACCAGGGATAGTCGGCAAGGTTCATCTCTCTCATCCTCTGTCGGATTTGGAGTGGAAAATCATTCGGGGGAGATAGAAGGTATACAGCCTCCATTATACCTCGCATGCATCATGAAACATTATCCCGTTACTCATGATATCAGACGGCATGTCATCGTAAAAAATACTCTAAGCTTACAGACAGGCTAGGCACTCCGAGATGTCTCTATTTACCCCTAAGATTACTCCGCCATCACCCATACTGGATTGGGTTTCTTCCTTTCGAAGCCCTAGCACTAGATGGGAAGATGGTTAGTCCGCCCGCAGGTTGATATCTGCCTAACTATGAAAACCAATATAAGGTCCACCGTCGTGCAACTGTGCTCTCCTGTTGCATAAGCAACTGAGTCGCAGAATGCGTTGAATATGTGCGCCGTTGTTCAAGCGTTTGGATGGTGACTGGAAATAGGGTAGCCATCAGAATCAATAGCAAGCCGGCTATCCGACCAAGGATAACTTAATTTTCACAATTAAGCTAGGCATTTATCCTCAGCTCAAAATACTCGCATCCCTAGACAGATGATAAGACATTTGGCTTTTCTGGTTTTCTAGGCGTACCCCAGTTTCTCAGATCAACTAAGCGTCACCGACCATAGAAGCGGCTTCTGGTTGGGTGCATATACATGAAAACGATGTACACTACAGGCCATACACTTCTACTAACGGAGAAGGGCCCCAAAGAGTATAAAGCGTTTGGCTACTTTGTGAAAGTCATAGTTACTCCAGAGCAAATACGTATACCGAATGTTAAGATATCTACTCGAGCTCACGCAGTCTTATGGATGCTTGTGAAGAGGTAAACATTTCCGACCCATTTGGTATCAATCAACTAGATTATATTGATGTTCGTTCTATATGACAATGTAATTGAATGATCAAAAAGATTTTTATCTGATGACTTGAAGTCGGATTCATACTCTTGAAAAAAGGGTCTTCCCTCGTAGATAAATTGAAATCTTAGAAAAAAATACTAAATATTTGTTGATTTTTATATAAATATACAAAGTACACCTTTCACAATGAATCACACTAACTTGATGCCCAAGTTTTTCTAAACAGTCCAGTTCTTCGTTTTTTGGGATACATTCAAAACGTATATTACTTAAAGTATTTTCTTATTAAGCTGAAAGGATGATGATTCTCCCTATAGATGTCTATGTAGTGTTACTAATTTACTTTACCTTAGTTCATAAAATTTTACCATTAAGTATACATTCTTTTCTACTTACTATTATTGTTATTATTTGTGTCTTTAGTTCCTAGTGGAACATGAGGCTTCAGTAGCACGCCTCCATTGCACTCTCTTCTCTGCAGTCTTTTCAATCTGGCTCCACGACTACCTGCCCATAAGCTTTCATTTCTTCCTCACATCATCTCCTCCATGTCACCCTCGCCTCGGACGCCCAACTCGTCGTTTCCCACCTGCATTCCACTCGAGGGCCCAGACTGACGTATGATGTCTCTGAATGGCTTTCTCAGTGTATACCCAATCCAACCCATCTCCACATTCTTCTACATATTTGTTGGGCGATAGGTTCTTGCCTCGTTGGTTCGTTGCCAGCCAACCAGAGTTCCTTGTTGTTTATTCTTATTATTCTGGCCATCTGATCTTCAGTATTGAGCGAGCGTAGATGTCAGCTGTTGATGAATGTCTGTAGTTTGTTGGAAATGCTTTTCGTGACGCACCAAGTTTCTGAACCATATATATAGCAGCACTGACTTGACTGACTTGAAAATCCGGATCTTGTTCACGCTTTGTGCCGAGTGCAGTAGATCTCCACACTGATTTCAGATTAATGAAGGCTTGTCTTACTTTCCCGATCATGGTTTTGACATCCTCATCTGTGCCTGTGCCGCCTGTAATTGAAACGATGCTGTCTATGTAGATGGGTGGGTGAAAGAGACAACTTCCTTTAGGTTTATCCTGGTCATGGTGATTGGTGCCTCTTGTTGTTGATGCTGTTGTCGGTTGGGTATCTTCATCACCTCTGTCTTCTCTACATCCACTTAAAGTTCTACGCACTATAGAGGCATTTTATCTTTTAAACTAGTGTCTTTCAAGTTTATGTTCATTGATATTGCTTTTACCATAGGCGCTTGTATAACTCTTTGGAGTCCGACAGATGAAATGATATCAATTTTAAAAGAAGGCGAAGTTGTTGAATTTTATCGTTTACAAGTAAGTAGCAAAAATGTTTTGATCTTATAAAATTATGTTATTTCACAAGATTATATGTCAGTTTATTTCAAATTATCTAATGTGTGCAGATTCTATGCCATCTTTGATTGATCGAATGCATATAAGGTTTGGTATTAATAGAGTTGGTGAGCACAGTTTGCTGTGTTTTGATTCAGAAAATCGCTCGATGTGTTGATATAAAGTGTGGCAACTTGAACTCTCATGCCTGATACTATTTTCATCTTATCTACCTTATGTGTGGTGGTGGTGGTGTTATGGCTCATTGGTTTACGGAGATGATTTACCACCATTAAGTCACGGGTTCAAGCGCCTCTCAACCTACCGAGGTTTAGGCAGCCAGGTAGTATCAGTAGCCGTTACACACAATAGGTGTGGCTCATTGCCTATTGCATGGATGTGCTCAAGGTGGCTGAGTGCGTTTCTTTTCGTTTAACCTTATCTATAATTCAGAAAATAATAATCATGAAAATAAGATTAACACGGTTTACAGCATAAACCGAATTCGGTTTCTTCTGAGGTTTATCATAAGCTGCAAACGATGAATATCAAGAACTAATATAATAGATGAATGACATATTTCAGCAACTGAATTCGGAAATAGAGGACACTGACGGAAAACAAATGGCAAAAAAATTCTAAGTGATTGTTAAAATTAGAACAACAAGTAAATCCTAGAAGTACGAATAGTGGAAAACGGGAATTAAAATGCCAACAAAATACGAACAAAAATCATTTTCCAAACAGTACACTTACCCGAAATTAACAACTTATCTATTATAGAACCCGTAAGTTACCTATTGGCTTTTACTACTTTTTACGACAAATCATTCGCTCTTCAATTGAAGATGGATAACGTGTATGAGAGCACTAGAGAAGCGAAAACTTCATCTGTACTAATTGATCATAAAGAGTACATCATTTTCTTCTATTTCTATGACTTTCTACGACTTTTGATTACTTCGTTTCCATTCTATTTGTCTGTCTTCCTATTGCCTACCTTGTACCTTGATGTGCCAATAAGAGGTATAACAACTTAGGCTGCTACTCAGTAGTAGTGGTAGTTCCAGATATCCTATTTTGATATTGAATGTCTGATCAAGATAATATAGATTTTCATTTGATAATTTGAGATAGCCATAGTTTGGCAGACTAGTATTTATACTGGGTGATGATTGAAGGTGAAATGAAATTTCGACCACCGCCAGATTCTAACTAGCGACCACCGGGTTTCCGGCCCGATGCTTTACCAAATGAACTACGAGGTCTGACTGCTGACCATATTTTCACTTCACTTCAATCACCAGGTGGTAGTAATGCGTCACGAATTCACATGGTAGTTGGGCAAAACCTTTGATGATTGAAGTAAACTAAAAATCTGGTGAGCAGTCAGACCTCGTAGCCTAGTTGGTAGAGCAACGGACCGGAAACGCGATGGTCGCTGCTTTCAATCCGGCCACAGTCCAAAATTTCATTTCACCTTCAATCATCATCCAGTATAATATAGATTTGTACATCTCTTGTGTTTATACCGTAAATTGTCGTCGTTTCTCTCCTTTACATTGATTTGAACGGTATTTTTTGTTGTTCTCATTGACTTTTCAATGTCCATTAATTGATTTTGCCTTTTTTTTTATCCTGTCATATTTTTAAGGCATCAGTAACTCGTGTGAATGACCCATTTGCATCACCTCCACCGCTTTCTGGATTTGTCAAGCCTATCGGTGTCAATATTCCATCTGGCTATGTATTAAGTTTGTCTGGTGGACGTACAACACGTGTCTTCTCACTAGGTCATATTTCAAAACTAGGAGAAAGCATTCCTATTGATAAGTTTGCTTGTATATATCGTCCAAGAGTTACATTAACTGTTACTGATGTCTATCGAATTGCTAATGAACAAGAAGTATCAGTTATGAACTCAAATAATAAAGGTATACTTTTGATGTCGAGATTTCATATGCACATTCATAGTGTTGATAATTAGAGATTTTCCTGTGTTGTTTTTTGTTCATTAAATTGTACTGTCTTCCAAGTACGCGAAAGAACGTTTCTGAAACGGTTTTCCTGATTTTGTCTTTCTTTATCCACTACGCGTACTGTGTGTTTCGTTAACTTGTAATATTCATCATATGGTAGCATAATCCACTTCATTAATCAACCATTTGTGCTCAACATTTTTGGGATAGACAAAAATCTCAAGTTTATCCTTGAATTCGTACTTAATGACTTTTGAAACCAGGACACGCGTTTTCTCCTATCAGGGACTCGTCAGCTGATGCACCTGTACCTCAGTGGGTGATATTCCCACTGAGATTCGAACCTCATGCCCATCGCTTCAAACGCCAGAACGTTATCCACTAGGCCACAACCAAGTAAATTACCATAGTAAATATTCAGGCAATATCGGGGTATCCTCATAAGAGCCCATATACCAACAAGGGTAGAACAATTCGATCCAGTATAACAACAACGGAGAATTACAAGTATGTTAATAAATAGTGATTACTAATACTCATTGTACAAGAAGTGGCTGTCGTGCACTATTGGCGTAGTGGATAACTCTGTGACGTTTGAAGCAATGGGCACGATGTTCGAGTTTCAGTGAGAACAACATCACTCACTGGGGCACAGGTGCATCCAGCTGACGAGTCCCAAATAGGACGAAACGTTCATCCTGGATTTCTCTGCTAGCCACAACCAAGTAATTTTCGGTTATTCATCACACCAACTGTCCATCTAGGCTGTTTTTGTTTTAATTAACCTAAATCGAGCACTAAAGCAGTAATCAGTAGACCATTTAGTATAACTCCTCCACTGTTCAGGTTTTTATTTCAGCTTCAATTGTCGTTCGCGAATCAATCAAGGCTATCTGAGAAATTTTAATCAGTAGAACTAACATTATCCATCGTTCCTTCGAAGTTATGACTCATTCCTCAGAGGAGGCTTCCTTTTAACTTTTTCAGTAGCTGAAATGTATTTAGAAAACATCTGTATAGTATGAACTGCATTTACAATGTGCTGGCAACACAATACGCCTTTCATCTTGTGCAGACTGAGGATGTCCAGCAGTTATGTGTTCAATCACCACTAACCTTGTAGTCTGTTCAAAATCCAATGTGGTAACAGCACATTCCTAATTTTCAGCTTCCATGGTGTTTGTTGTAATCGTGATGGAAGTCGGCATTTGACTCCGTTGATCGAGAAGTCTTATGGCGATGTCTCTCACTGAAAGCTGTCTACTCGAATACTTGTGGGCGTGTTAGAGCCTATGGTGAGATGTCTGGAGAGCTATGCTCGTCGAGTACTGTCCGTCAAGGGTGCCCACTTTCTCCATTCCTATTCATTCCTATCATAGATATTCTTATGGAGATCTCCTTCTCGTCATCTGACTGCACAGGGATTGACCTGATCTCAGGAGAATTTTCGGTAGACTTAGAATACGTAGATGACATAGTCCTGTTGGGTGAAGATGCTGACAAGATACAGAGTCTTCTGGAAACCTTCAGTGGGAATTTGAGAATGTTTGGGATGCGTTTCTTACCACCCAAATGCAAATTGTTGCTCCACGGCTGATCTTTAACGGTAACCCGACTAACAATAGAGTGAAGTGGTTCATCGGGTCGAACAATTCACTTACCTGGGAAACCGGATTAGCCCTGATGCTTTGGTCAATGGCCGTTGAAATCTCTGCATGGATACAAAAAACTCGGTTGGCCTTTGCCAACTTACTCCACCTGTGGTGCCGCCGTGATATCCGATTGTCTATTAAGGGTTGTGTACCGCACAGCAGTTCACTCTATTCTATTGTATGGCTGTGAAACATGGCCATTGGAGGTGGAAGAGATGAAAAGGTTTCAGGTGTTTGACCACCGTTGCCTTCGTAGTTAGTCCGTATTTCATGGTGTTACCACGTGAGTAATGCAGACGTCAGGGGAATAGTTTTAGGGAGAAGAGGTAAATCAACTGACGAGGTTGTGAATCTTCATCGACTGAAATGGTTAGGACAGGTGTTACGTATGCCCAGCCACCGTCTGCGTCGTCACACAATGTTGGCTGAAGTAAATTCAGACTGGAAAAAGGCTCGAGGTGGCCAGACTAAAACATGGCATCAATGTATAAAGTGTTTGACTGTTGATTTGAGCCATGTAGGGGGACGTTGCAGACTAGGTGGTTGGGGTGCGTGGGACAAGAGTAACCAGTGGTTGGAGACTGTAGGTGATCACATGGCTGAGAACGGATGTCAGTGGCGCAGATGTATACACACACACACACACACACATTATCCTCATCTTAACGACGCTATACCGAACCTCACCATTTTGTCAGTCTTCCTTGCTCTCTTTTCGTACTTTATATTTCTTTTGAGTGAATTTTCTTATGTTCATGTTGCACTTCACTGGATTTTTACTTGATGTAGTGATATGAGGTGAGGCAACTCGGACCGTTACTCATTAATGCCTGGTCTTATGTTGATCTGGATGGTGGTGATGGAAATCGTTACTTGAGTGTATTATCACTTTGCAACACCGGTGTTGCTTATCTTTTTCCAACACGTTTCTTTCTTACCCATGGTGTGCGCAGTTTATCTTTTAAGTGTATAATTGAAGGAGTGCACTGTATTTAGTGTACTTCCCAGTATCGTGGCGAATATTTATCACTCGGGGTGTGAGCGTTCAGAGTAACCTGTTCTTCTTTCTGTAGTTTTAGTCTGGAAATGTTTCGATGTGATGCTTCACAAAAAATTTCTTATTCGCAATGCCTAATATGATGTTGAAATATTCGCTACCTAAAACACTTTAAGTAGAGATATTATTTTATACAATCAGAATGGATCATCACAAGCAAAACTATACCTCGTGTTTGAAGGCTAATGATACCACCTGTCTGTTCAAACCTCCGTAGGTGGGGCAGGCCTCGAACCCTTGACCCAATGGTTGCAAGTCACTCCCGTAAACCACTGAGCCACACTCCCATTAAGTAGTCCATTCGATGTATTAAATGACACTTGTTGGAGAAGGGTAGTTGTCTAAAGAACATTTTATGGTAGGTAATCTTGAGGTAACAGGTTTCAAAGTAATGACTTGCTATGCATACTTTAAAAATGTTGGTATAGTGATATAAATGAATTTAAATATTGGTAAATGTAGATTTATCTCCTAGAAAATAATTGTATTTCTTAACACTTGTATTCTAAAACGTCAATATTAGAACATGTAAAAGGCAGAGTACATTCACCTGGTATAACTGATTGTGCGGTATGAACCGACAACCGATCGCTAAAAAAGTGAATACTTGTAAATTGCTTTCGATTAAATCAAATATCTTTACTCAGAGTAAAATGACCCGTCACCCTGAACTGTATATATTTTTATGTATTCATTCTTGTATATTTCTGTAGTCTTCTTAATCATGAAATATGATGATATTTTGTCTTCATGCTATAGTTGAATGTTCTATGGTGAATACCAATAAATTAGTTTCCAATGATTTTCACTACTAAGAGTATTCAAACACCTATGGATTCATAAAAATTAGTTATATTTGCTGTTGTTAGAGTAAGTAAATAGCTTTATGTACTATTCCAATTGCAGGCTTATGTTTGAAACATGAGGGAAATAACTTTCTTTGGTGTTACTGTATTACTCATATATGCTACAATTAATCAGATGTTTGACGTGTAAATGGTATACTATTGACATACTTTACTGTAAATTGTTTCCAGTATATTTACTTATTGTAAAACAATTTTTTTGTTTTATCATTCAAAATTGTTGTTAATAAGTAGAATTATGAGTGATAGTCAGTCACCTTATGTTTCTGCTTTGTACCTTTTGATTTCATTTTTCTAACGGTTCCCATGTGTATGTTCATTACATTTCTGTATGGAACTCAATCTTGTATGTAGGTGTATAGGTAGCACAATTCTACTGATGTAGGATCTATCAAAAATATACAAACGTGAGGCGCCTCTTCATCCTATCCTGTAGATATGACCAACTCACCTTACCACGTTATCGCTAAATGGCTAGTATGATTACTTCAGCCTTTATATGATCAGTTAGGAAAATACAGTATCAAAGATACCTTCTAGTTTATAGATAAAGTAAAAAATTAAACGTTTTAAACAAGTGCATGGGATCACTTGATGATCACATGTTTGTTCATTAACATCCTTCTAATGGAAACTGTCGACTACATCTACAAACAATTACTAGAAAGGAAATTAAACAATGCCATTATTTACGGTAATTTGCTTAGTTATGGTTAACAGGAATTCGAGGTGTGCGTTTCGTCCTATTTGGGACTCGTCAGCTGGATGTACCAGCACCCCAGTGGGTGTTGTTGTAACCATCGTTTCGAATGTCACAGCGTTATCCAGTATGCCAGTGAGGCACAATAACCACCTCTTGTAGAATGGGTTATTACCATTTATTGATATGCTTGTAATTCTCCGTTGTTGTTGTTGTTATACTGGACCAAATTGTTCGACCTCTATTTCCATTATAAATTTCAGGGAACTATTGCTAAAAGGCACAATGAATGTCCAATTCATCTTTGACAGTAATCTGTACAAATAAGTTGACGGAGTGATTATGGAATCACTACTGGAACCAATGTCTGCAGACATATTTCTGGCAAAATTGGAAAATGATCCTTTGAAATATCAAATTGCCAATATAGAGTTTTACTGTCGATAAATAGACGATACTTTTCTAGTAGTCTTTGATAAGTGTCAATGTATTAATTCTATTCTGAATCATTTCAACAGCGCTCATCCATCAGTTTATTTTACATATGAAAATGAAACCAATGATTCGATACATTCTCTTCATGTATTAATAACAAGAAAAGAAAATGGCTGTATATTGAAAAATATATATATCGAAAACTGACATGTTAGACACAGTGTACGCACTTTTTCAGATCCGTGCTGATAAAGTACAGGCATAATATACTCAAGTGCCTGACATTTGGAGTAATATCGATTAACTCCAAGGAGTGTGGAAAAAGAACAACTGTGTACCTATGATATTCTGACTGAAAACGAATATCCGGATATGTTCATCATAGCTCAAATCATTTACATTTGTCCTAAACGAGAACTGATGACGGTGAAGAATAAACTTTTGTTTCGGCGCTAGCAAATTCAATGGAGATGCTCCAAGTGATATTCTATCACAACACCTAGCCAAAGCAATCAGACGGACGTTTTATGCGGGTCGGCTTTGTATATCTTTCAGTAGTCGTCCAAGGATCAAGTTTAGACTAACGAATAGCCTACCTAATCTAAGCTCTTCATCCTGCCTATATTAATTTACATAGGGTGTACGATTAAACAAGTGCTTCCCCGGATACGAGAGCATTTACTGGCTTGAGATGGAAAGGGTGAAGTGAAAGTGGTGAGAAGTTCAGTTCTAGTGCACCTAGTAGACATAGGTCATCGCGTAGATGCTTATTAAAGTTTTTAGTGTCATCCATTACATTCCAAAAAAGGTATCACACATAGCTCGCCAATGCCTGCTCAACATAGTGGAGGCTATCACCATAAAGTTGATGAAACTTGAACTCTGCATTCAGAAAGAACATGTCCAAGCATTATTTATCTTTTGTCCATCAGTTAAACGAAAGGCTATTCCTACCTTCTTTATATGTTATCTTTTTGTTCATTTATCTGTACATGTATCATCCCAGTATTGACTATTTTAAAAAAGATATACCGATTTCCTTACAATCCCTCAATTCCACTCCATTATGAAAATATATCTGCCCTTAACATGGCTTGTTTTCATGCTGTACAAATGCATTTTATAATTGTAGAACCTAAAGAGAATTTTATTGCAATAAATATTCTTCATTCAGAATGTTACTTTTTATATTACTAAGTATGTAGACACAAATATGGAGTTCACACTGACCACCTTTTACTCCACCTCTACACACTCACTATTAGAAAGTTGCTTAGCTCTGTTTTTTTTTAATTACTGTAGTATTTTTTTCTTATCTTTCAAAACATTTTTCTTTAACTGGTCTATTTATTTTGTGTTGTTGATTAATGACTTTATTCTAATCAGTTGTGTTTTTTTTTTCTAACTTGATGTTTACTTTCTCTAGGAAATATAGAAGTTGATATGCGTTGTTTGATTATAGCAGTTTATCTTACTTCGACCAACTTGACCAAATCTTGGAAAGACCAATCAATTAATAAATCAATAGATAATTCCCGATTATTTGATACTCCTTTCAAGTATCCTTCCTCCGATGTCGATTGTGTATATGTAACTGATGTAGATTGTAAATCCGAAACATGTTTATTATGTGTTATCAAATTTTGGGATGGCTTACAAGTTAGTTTCGACATAATTTCACTATATTAATTTGGATATTTGTTAGTAAATTTTAACAGTTTGTAGTCTATATTAGCACACAAATTACAATTACCCCCTTTTGAGTATTTTGTTATCCGTTTTACTAATTTCCTTGTAATAGAATATGAATTGATAAGAATTAATCGATACTTCTTAATATTAATGATGGCTAGCTCTGAAATCTAAGACACGTGTTTCATTCTATCTAGGACTTGTTATAACTGGATGTACTCACCTCCCAGTTGGTGATGTTATCGTCACTAAGACATAAACTCAGGATCAATCACTTCAAAAACCAGAGCTTTTTCCACTAGACCACCGAATCCATCATTAATATAAAACTGAAAATCATGGTAATTTCAAGGCATCCTCACATAATAGCTGATTAATTTAGTCCAACTAACCATGGGCAATTGTGAGTTATAATATCTGAACAATAAATCTTAATATTTGTTGATACTTCTAATTGCCCGTTGTTATGTCGAACTGAATTGATCGACCTTTGTTGAAATATGGGTTCCTATGCGACTGTCTTGGTATTACTTGAATATTTTTAGTTATAATTGACGTGATGGTAGTGGAATCCAAAACGTGCGTCTCGTCCTACTTGGGGCTCATCAGCTGGACTGACTTGCACACCAGTGAGTGATGCTGTCCCGACTAGGCCGGTGAGAGGAACACCACTCACTGGGGTCCAAGTTCATTCAGCTGATGAGTTCCGAATAGGATGAAACGCTCATCGTAGATTTCATTGCTAGCCACCCCAAAGTTACTTGTAACAATGAATAGGTCTTGATGTTTTGAATACAACTCCGTTTTTTAACATCATATTTCAGCAGAATCTTTTGACGTCATTTTTCGCTTGAGTAATTCTCTACTTTGTTATTTGTCCAGTATGCTACTCATGTATTTACTTTTTTTCCATTACGTTTTTTACCTAACGAACTCTCTGTGTATATGTGTACTAAAAAGTCCTTCTGTTCTACTGGATGAAAAGTACTACAGTTTTATCGATCATTAGTTCTTCGTGAAGACATGAATTTCTCTGAAAAATTTCAATAAATTATCGTCATCTATATCGCATATAGTTTGCAGATCTTGGTTAACGTAAATGAAAGTCTTGTAAATGCATGTTTATTAGATCAACTAGGCTTCATACTTAAAATCGTTGTTTTTTGTGATTGAGATCTGGTTTCATGATCGCTCTCGGAAATCATACTTTGGATATATTTGCTTGAAAAATGTTTTGAATTATGCCTTCGGATTTTTTAGCTATCTTATTTGAATTAAGTAGATTTTCTGTGAAGTACAGGAGACTCTTCAATAAAATATCAAACTTTCTGATAAGACTTTCGAGACAGTGTATCAACATTAAAACTGATGTGTGAAAGCTACTAGCTCAGCGCTCTGTTACTTAAAATGCATATTGTTTTACTACAATTACTTCTTGATATTGCTTCTCTGACGCTGGAATGAAAACGTATCAACTTCTTAGTGACATAATACTCTTTTTATGCATTCTAGTCTCTTCATCTGACGGATATACTTCAAGTTGGTCGCGTATTATGTTTTACTGATCTACAACTACGTCGATGTCAAACGATTCATACAGTTTCTAGATTAGACCAACCTTCACGTGCTATCCCTCTTGTCAATTTAAATTATACGTCTGCAAGCAATGTTGCAACTGAAAAATCGAGTATTCGACATTCTAGTCGGATGACGTCAACTAATGAATCTGTAAGTTCTAAATGATCTTTTTCGAATAAATATATTGATCAACTGCTAGAAAGATAAAACAAGACAAAAGAAAATTCTTTTGTTTTTTTACGGTTCGCTTCAACTATTGGACATTGGACTCCCGTTGGCCGTCTATGTTCACTGGCAGATTTCATGAAGTTGTATTACCTAAATGATGTTAAGAAGAGTAATTTAAGTTCCTTCTTATGATTCTGTTTCGTTTTATTGTTTTCATCAGAATCCTGATGCTGTGTCTTATCTACAACAAGTTGTTAAGGACTTTTTATGCTCAAAATTGGGGCGTAACTTTGACCTACAAACCTCTGATTCCCCTGTGAACTATGCGAAATCTATACCACCTTTTCCATCGAATATACCGAATTCGACGAGTTTTGGTCTTTCTACTTTGTTACGAAGTTCTGCAAGTCATACACATTCAACTCCTATAAACACTAGAACCCCTAGAAAGTGCATTCCACGTGAAGACTATTCTATGAGTTCAAAGTCCATTTCTGAATCACCAAATCAATCAGTACTGAAACAAAGTCTTCCTCTCAAAGAACAGGTAGGATATCAACAGATGTTATATGATATTTTTCCTTTGTTTCATCAACAAGATTCGCATTATCTTAGTCCCAAAAAATACCCTGCACTATATGTTTTGGTTACTGTTATGCTGTGGAATCCGACTGCCACGATCTTCATAGAAAGTTGTGAATCCCCTTGAGCCTTCTTCAATCAAAACAAACCGCATGAACCAACGTGTAAATATCAGATTGGTTGAAGAGACAACAAATAAGTCGAATATTCAAATCTAGAAAGGCTTATAAACAGCCAACGCCGTTTTCAATATATATATATATATATATATATATATATATATATATATATATATATATATATATATATATATATATATATATATATATAAGCAGTTGTGTTTTGTATATATTTTTGATGTTACAATACACCTGTTATCTCAGTGCCTTTTTCACTTATCGAGAAAGTGAGTGACCATTAAGGGGTGGAATCTAAAGGTTATTGTTGAATTATATATAAATATATATTAGGTAATCACCACAAGGTTATAACAAGTGTTGCGGGAGCTATATCAGTTACATTACAGCAATGTGAATACAGATGGGATGGGTTGTTTGAACAGTTAAGAGGATACAGATGTGACTCACTAACTTACGGACGTAACTGCCATTTATGTTGTCCAAAGTTCAACCTGTGCTCCACCAACATAGGTCTAGGCAATCGGATGATGGTATTGTAAACCCTTCTTTGTTAAGTGTAGCTCATAGTTTAGTGAGGAGTGATTCTTTTCAAGCTGTACAGTCTTATTTGAATATTATATTCGTATGATAACAGGAAAGGACTATTTCATAAAATATGCTTGAACGAAATTCACTTTTATTTATAAATTAGGAGATCGAAGAAAAAAAATGAATTAATTAGTAAATGAGAAGAAAACTTATCAAGATCAAAACAGTATTAAGTTAATAAGTTAAATGAAGTAATATGATTAGAGGAACTGGTGAATGTAATGAGGAGTCAGAATTATTGGTGTAAAAGGATATGATGTTTATGAAGGCTTGATATACTAGTTAATAGGATTATTTGTATTGCTTATTTGATTAAGTTTGAGCAGACGTGCTCTAATTTCACATATTAGCGTAACCATATACTTCTAAATGGAATTTCCTATTGCACATTTTAAGGAAGTCAAGAGGGGGAAATCATTCTTCTAGACTTTGTGCTTGTTGGTACCTTCATTAAGAATGAATTTATTTCTAATCTAAAAAGTTACGTTGGTATTTTTAATGTAATTCTATTTTAGAAGTAGTATTCATCATGGACTGACATCAGTTGGGGAACCATTGAAAATCTGGGAGCACTGGACAGCTATTAGTTGGGGTAGGATGCTAACGAATTTGTAAATCCTGAATGGGGCTAAGGTAACTGTAGCGGCAACACGTGTTTTCTTGAGCATATAAATCCGATTGTTCAGTCTTGTTTACCACTAAGTCTGCAGTTTGAAATATACGGACCCGGGTAGAAAGTAATAGAAGAGAGGAAGAAGAAATGAGATAGTGAGATTAAGTATAGCAGTTAAGATGAGGATAATATATGTATACATCTGCACCACTGACATCAGTTCTCAACCATATCACCTGAGTCAGTTTCCAACCACTGGTTCCACTTGTCCCACGGACCTCAACCAGATAGTCTGTATCGCACTACATGGCTCAAACGAACAGTCAAGGACTTCTGCCTGCCTTACTGTCTTACCTCTCCTACCTAAAACTCTATGTCTGACTTCTGCGTTGCTCACATGGTGACACCACGAAACTCGACCTATGCTACGAAGGCAACAGTGGTCAAAAACCTAAAGCCTTTTCATGTTTCCTACCTTTAATTGCCTATGTTTCACAGCCATACAGTAGAACAGAGAGGACTGCAACACAGTACACTCGACCCTTAATAGACAATCGGATATCACGGCGGCACCACAGGTGGAGTAAGTTGGCAAAGGCCAACCGAGTTTTTTGTATTCATGCAGAGATTTCAACGGCCGTTGACCAAAGCATCAGAGCTGATCCGATTTCCCAGGTAAGTGAATTGTTCGACCCGATGAACCACTTCACTCTATTGTTAGTCGGGTTACCGTTAAAGATCAGCCGTGGAGCAACAATTTGCATTTGGGTGGCGAGAAACGCATCCCAAACATTCTGAAATTGCCACTCAAAATGTCCAAAAGACTCTGTATCTTGTCAGCGTCTTCACACAACAGGACTATGTCGTTTGCGTATTCTAGGTATTACGAAAATTCTCCCGCGATCAGGTTAACCTCTGCGTAGTCAGATGACGAGAGGAAGACCTCAATAAGAATATCTATGATAGAAATGAATAGGAATGGAGAGAGAGAGAGGGTATCCTTGATGGACACCACTCGATGTACACAACACACTCGCTATCTCACCATGTTCACCGTATCGTTCCTTTGAAGTAAATGTGTTGATTCAACACTAACCCAGTCATATTCCGTAGATATACTACGTTTTTCTTGACTGTTGAATTACAGCTTACATTTGACAATTTTGGTTTCAGGCATTAGAAAATAACAACTGTTTCAATGCATTGGTTCAACATTCTACTCAGAATAGAAATCGGTGTAATAAGTCGTACGCATTCATTTGTACATATAACTAGTTTCCTTATTTTTCGATTGAATTCTTTTGTATTTTTGTTCTACTTTAAAAATCTCTTCTTTTACATGAAATTTAATAATACCCCGTTAAATATTATTTTCATACTAGAATTTTACTCCAATTAAACGATTCTCATCAACTTCTGAGCTTCAAAAACAACAGTGTGATGATACACCTAAAAATAACAATGTAAGTGTCAATCAAACCACATTTCATCATTCTATTTCCTAACTCTTGTTTTTTTCCTCCTATTTTAATCAGTTAGTTTTTATGTTATGAAATTATGATAGTGTGACTGCTAAGCTTAAATAAGACCTTTAGAGGTTCATAGCTTCATTATTTTGATTGCTTTGCTAATTATCTTGTTTAGTAAGCATGATGTATGCACACATGGAGACTATTTTGTAAGTTTGATGTTTATATGTCATCTGTAGGAAGCCATTTATTAACTTATGTTTCGATTCTGTACAGTGAAGTTTATTGACTAGTGAATGATGTATGCAGTTTGCAGTGATACGTTTTCTTCTCGTTGACTATCTCGTTCAGTTATCTAATGTGAAGGCTTTAGTCATCTGACCATTGTCTCTTGAACGTCACTGGTATTTCACGTGGAGTCTTTGGACGGCTAATGAGATTGTTAGCCATTACTATTTGAGGTAGCTTAGATACGTCATATTTGCCGAACTTAAGTCTAGTTAAATGAGTTATCTTAACTGAAGTTGAGTTAACCTAGAATAAACCCAAAGGTGAGCGGGATATCCATGACTGTTTGTCTTAGTTATGTAGGGAAATGTGTGCTTGCTGGTTTAATTCTGCAGTACAAACAAAGTGGATGTTTAAAGATCTCAAGCGAGGTTACTCAGAATTGTAATGGAGCTGTGGTTCTTTGGTTGACGGAGATGACTCAACCTATTTGCCACGGGTCCGAACCCTGCTTCGTATGTCAAGGTTTTGACAACCAGATAGTATCATTAACCTCCACACAATAGTAGGTGTAGCTCATTGCCTGCTGCACGAATGGGAACAAAGTTACTGAGTGCATTTCGACTCGGTCGACTCAAAATTTATCTCACTGACACAAATGCATCAATATCTTGTCTTCATATAAGTTTTAGTATTATATGTCGTTACTCGATTAAATTATTCCTCGTTTCTTCGCATTGTTTATCTTGTTGACCTCCATCTCTGTGTGATGTTGATGTATTACTAGGCTATGGGTTGATAGCATCTGTCTGTCATTAAATTACTCACAAATCATTAGGTTCCTGTTGATGTTGCTCGTGGTTAGCTGGTTTTTGAACCACTTTATGATAGTGTCGTCCAGGGTTCCATTGAAAGTCATCCAACCGAGATTGATAACTGTAGTCTCTGATTAAAAAAAGTTCCTTATGTAACGAGATTTACTAGGTGACAACGTAATTAGTCAGCAACAACTCAAGCTGATCTGGTTAGCCGAATCTCCAAATCAGTGTCCATGTTGCTCTTTACCCACTTCATTCAGTATTTTATTTCTTTTGGTATTGTATTTAGCGTAGATCGAGTGAACTACCTGAAATCTGCAAAAGTTGATTGGCTTATTCCAATCCTGATGAGACCTGAGTGCTTTCGTTTTGTCTTTTGCATCAAATCAGTAATCTGATCGTCTTCATTATAAAAATAGCATGATTTGAACAGTTGAATTGCTGTTTCGGGTTGGTGTTCATCATGGACTGACATCAGGTGGAGAAACATTAGAAATCTAGGAGTGCTGAACAGCTGTTTCCTTCTAATATGGGACTCTTCAGCAGTGCGCACCAATGGCCCGGCCGATAATCGGACCCTAGACCCTCAGGTTCCGCGGCCGGTCCAATAGTCCATATTTCCTACTTCTGTCAGTTCACGATATAACACGACCTCCATCCAATGCCGTTGTTGAGTAACTGTTCTCAAGTTCGTCTGATTGGTACTTTGGGAATCACTTCTCGAAGCTAGTCATGAACGAGCACTAGATTATTTCAATAAATAAATCCACATAAACTTCAAAATTGAATTGGTATTTGTTGTATGTAACTTGTACTTAATTTCCACAAATTTGTACATCTTTATATGATTTGATTTTTAAAATAATTGGATTCAATATGTGGAACTGAGCAGTAAAAATGTAACTTTCTATCAGGTTGACGGGTGGGACTATATAATCTTGAAGTCTTTGGTGGACTCGATAGAATTTGAAATAACCAATGCAGCTGAAAGTGACTATGTGGTCGTTCTGAACAGCTTTTTATTGTTGGAGGGATGTTGTTGGTTTTAGATAGTCTTATGCACAGTTTTGGTAACGGTAATTTTGATTGAATTGAAGGGAATTATTTGTCAGATTATCGCTTCATACTATCTGTTAATTTAGATTTACTTTTCATGTGCTTTCATTTCCCATAAAGGACGGAATCATAACCAAGAAGTTCGCACTGAAGTATGCTTCAGTGTTCAGGAGTGTTGATATTGAAAAGTGAACGTACTCACTGTTTGTTAACTGCTTCATGACTTTTCAAGTTTCGTACTTTGAAATCTGTAGGTTTTACGTCATATCCAATGTCAAGAACCGAATTTCTTCTAAATCCTCAAACTTCAGTTCCTATATTATTTCGGCAGGGGTTTATACAAATAGTTAAGAGGCGATAGTAGACCACTTGAGAAAGCCTATTTACGTCTATATCAGTCGGCTTAATTTCATGCAGTCACATGGATAAATAACTTCATTGTACTTTACTTTTAAGAGAGAGAAAACAGTCGAAAACCTAGATAATTTCCTAAACATAATTAAAATCCATGTCAACTGTAATTTCCTTTCATTTTTGTATTAAAAAGAAACAACCTTCTCCCTATTGATGCGTTCAAGGTTATTTCAGAGTCACTAAAAGGCGGCAAAATTCAACAATTCCACTCTTAAGTTTCATTGAGCATAGAAATGTTGCAACACAATGCTTAGTTTGTCATTGTGATGAATGATTTATTTTAATTAATATACGAGGTAATTTTGTATTCAGTAAAAATGTACCAGTTGCGTGTGTCTGCCGAAAGTAAACGAATAGTGAAGACTCGAGATTGTGGCTGATTTTAACTTTTAGCTAATACAAAAACGAATCAAAATTATGCAGATTTATGAATCATGCAGACGTCTACTTCCCTGCTGAATTCATTGAACTACTTTTGTTCTAATGATCCTTTACTTGATTTAAGTTCCAATTTATTGCTCAAAAGTTTGTTTATTCCCACCCTTTTGTTAATATCTTTTTATTTTTAGAGTCCATACGTTCGAACTCTACCAAATCGAAGTGCTTCACGTACAGGGTTATCACGGAGATTACGTTCTCGTTCGAATCTTATTGTACCATTAAATTCTTCTACCACAATCGTATCGGATATGAAGGTTGTTAGTGATACAAAGCCATATGAAGATATTCAAATTACAAAGTCGCCTCCATCGACTATTCCTTCATTGCCTATTCCTGAAGATTTGTCCTCTACACCTGAACCAAAAGCTAAACGTCGGCGTTGTTCACAGAACAGTGATAAATATACAGATTCACCAGAAGTATCTTCTAACAAGCAACCTTCAGAGTTGATTCAGTCACCCATAGATATTTTGAATACATCAAATTCAGACGATGAAAATGTGAGTTACTTTATAGCTTTTGAGAATAAGCATTTGTCGGTCATCATATTCATTCAATGCGTCCTTGTAAGCATCATATCCTCTAGTTATTAAGGTTTCCGTTTTAAGTTGAGTTTTCTGGTTGGTATTCATCATAAGTTGAGACCTGGGAGCACTGAACAGCTGTTTCCTTCAACAGTGCACACTCTAGGTCCCGCCAGGTGTCGAACCCAAGGCCTTCGGGTTTCTGGCCGGTCCAATGGTCCATATTTCCTACTTCTGTCAGTTCACGATATAATACGACCTCCATTCCATACCGTTGTTGAGTAACTGTCCTCACGTTCGTCTTGGTTGACCTCATGGGTCACGACTTCTTATTACAACTTTAGGAATCACCGATCACCTTTAAGAATTATATTGTCTATTTCAAGTTTCAAGTTTATAACTTATTCTTTTCCACTCCACTGACGAAACTCTCAGTCTTAATTTCTCATGATATACTGTTATTGAAATTCAAGCTTAATTAACTATTAGTATTCTTACATCTTCAGTTGATTCAAGAAATGCATCGTCCATCGTTCAATGTGTTTATAAATAGTGTATTGATTGTTCAATCCTCCAGCTTCGGTGTAGTAACTCGAAGAGAATATTGTCATACCAGTAAATGCTCATTTTTTTAAAGTTTCACTGTTTACTAACTTGATTAAAATAATCTCATATTAGTATACTTTATTCCATGGTATCATACCAAATCTAATGATTATTGTCTTGTTTCTCATCTCCACTTCATAGATGTTACCATCTAATCCTTATGAACTACAGACTTCACCTTATAATTTAAATGATTCACAAATCGTTTCAAGTTCACAATTTGGAAATGATAATTCTTTTGATAGTTCAGATATGAGTATAGCTGATCTGGTGAAAACACGTCAACGTCGTTATACATGTACACCTCAAATTATTTCTACACCACCACTACCACGAAAATCGTTATCTAACCATCGATTATCATTGAAGAAAAGGATTTCCAAATAATTTTGTTTAGATTTTCATTTTGATTTGTTTCATTTTTATTTTATTTTGTTTTATTTTTCATATTCCACATTTTGCCTAGAAACTATAAAACCATCGGATTTCTATATCGTTAGGTTTATTTTTACGTTTGTTTTCTTTTTTATCGTTCTTTTGTATATATGTTTTACTCTTACAGTTGAGAAAATCGAAACATCATGTTTTTGCCAATTATTTTCAACAGATTTCCTTTAATTTTTATTGAAAATTGAATAAATAAATTAGCTAGCAAACGGTCTTAGTGGACTTCGCATGGCCACACCATATATTTGTTGAAAATGTTCACTTTCAAATGTGAAATAAACTTTATCAGTATACAGTGATAACAGCTCTTTCAAACGTGTTGAAAGGATAAGAAAAGAAGAATTACTGAAAGATATATGGTCACAAAGAATGTTAATGGTTTTAATTAGGGGTACGTTAGTAAATAAGGTGTTGACATCAAATGAATACAACTTCTTATCTTTCATATTAATATCACTAAAATAATCAACAAGTTCAAAAGTACTATTTCGTCAATTTATGTGTAGGTGAACGGAACATGGAGAGTATAGGACATAAATTTCTGAATTTTAGGCAATCTATAAAGGTTAGAAAGCTTAAACACCATTGGTTTGAGGGCAGTGTATTCTTCCTTCCTGGATAACATTGATATTCAAGAATTTTACTAGACTAGATGTTTCTTTGTGTATTCTAAGATCGTTCGATGGAGCATCAGCCATAAATTTACTTTTATCACTAAGGATGGACATCATCTTGGGTTTGTAATCACATCTGTTCATCACGATCATGCCTGACTGTTTATCGGGTTTAAGAATGATTACGTCAGATCTATTTTGAAGTCGTTTTATGGCTTTGAAATGTTGCGAAGTTAGGCTGCTTCTTTATATTGGGCCTTAACTATGTAATTGATAGGCAATATCCACTAGCTTAGTCTTCAACCAATTCTGATTATCTGATAAGGTTGGAACAAAGAGAAATAACTGATCATAAAAACTTTTAAATAGAGCATCAATAATCGAATCCAAAACTTTTGTGTGGGAAACCGAAAAACGAAATCCAAGGTATAGCTCTTCCTTCTCGTATGTCAAAAGTTGAATAGAGGATAAATTAGTCACATATTGATCTGGATTAATTAGGAACGAGATAACATAAGATTCATTAGTACAAAATTTTGATAGCTTCTGTTTTGCCTTCCCCTTCGATTTAATGATGACAGAACTACAAAAATTGACTAACTTGATATGACAAATCAATCGAATCCGGGAGCGTTTTAAATATTCATTTCGCCTTCAGTCCTCACTCAGTATGAACTTATGCTGTTTTAGGTAATGTATGATGATGAAGTACACCGGCTTGATCTTCCACCATTGCAATATCTTATAATAAGGACGAGATAAACATTCTAGGAACCAAGAATATTTTTCAATCCATTAACTTTCCTCCTATCACTAGTTAATATTCCTGCTTTTCAGGTGAAGAAAAGATGAAGGAATTAAATAATTACCTTAATCAAGTCTTCGGTTTTTACCAAGTTTTCTAGACTGAACCAATTGCCACGACAGTAGTTTTGGATAACATTTGGCACTGTTAATTCAGATTTCATATAGAATTACTTAGCACTATAGTAAGCTCAATAGGATCGTCTACTTGACTTTCTACATGTTGAATTAATTAGTGAACGAGTTTCTAATGAGTAATTCTTCTTAGGGTAATTGTTTTTCTAAAGTCTCTCTGAAAATGTAAAGCTTTAGAAGTATTTTTATGATTTATCATTAGAACATCAAAAGCAAGAAATCCACTGAATACGGTTAATTAATTTAGAGATAGTATTCATGACGGACAGATATCCAACACGAAGCATGTCACTAATGAGCATTATATGGTAATGTATTTTTGAGATGAATGGGGATTTTTAATTAAGAGGTAGTATTCACCATGGAGTGACATCAGTTGGGGAACCCCTTTATAGTGATCATTAGTGACATGCTTCCAGATGGATATCACGGAGTTCTAATGAGAAGCCGTGACGTGTGGGGTCAACCGATCGGAAGAAAGCGGATTCCAACTAAAGATCTTGGGTGATAGCCACGCTATATCGTGAATTGACATAAGTTGAAAACAACCACCGAAATCCAACCCAGTCACTGATTGGTTAACGCGTTCGCCGTAAAACCCGAAGGTCCTGAGTCCGATCCCTAATTGGGTCGTGGGTGCGTAGTGCCGAGGAGTTCCGTACTAGGACGAAACAGTTCTCCGAGATTTCCAATGGTTCCCCCAAATGATGTCAGTCCGTGATGAATTCTACATTTAAGTAATATTTTTGGACGGGGGATATAAAAAACAATAGATACTTATGATTGTGATTATAATTTTTACGAACAATAAGAGGGGATTCATCAAGAGTTTAAGTCATTCACACTTCTTAACCACTTTACAAAGGGACATAAAACTAGTACTATCATAAACGTACACAACACATAACAATATATTAAAGTTAAAGTGCTTACAACAACAAAGTCTCAAAAATTGCACGATCCATGTTGATATTTCTCATAACTGAGTAGTTTCTCAACTGGGGTGTCTACAAGGTTTCCTCTGGAAACCACTCAGCTGATATCATAGAGTGTGATCTCTGACATAAAAGTGTCATGAACTGGTGAAAGATACTACTACTGAACAACTTGAGTAGTTAGAAACGATTCAGACTGGTCTGTAGTATTTTATCAGTCAGATCGAAGTGATCTAAACACTTGAAAAGTATAAAAATTAAAAGAGATCCAAACAGAAAGTTTAAAAAATTTGAAATAAACCTGTTATAACTAAAAAGCGGTTAGAACGTTCCTCTTTGTATATCAAAGTTAAGCTTTAGTTCGTGAATAGTAAAAACTTCTACACTTTCAGACATTTGAGCGTGAAGCTGTGTCAGAATTTACGGTGAACTGTATACAGCCAGCGAAAATCGCTTCGGATTGTATGACTGATATAAGCTTAGTGATATCTAGTCACCGTTCCACTTTTTTCAAACCAACCGCGTAACTACTGCTGTATAGTGAAGTCAAGTTTTAGTGTGTCCTTCTCTGTAGCCGCCGGTGAACTGTTAAAAACTTAAATAATCAGCAAAATGAAAGAGCTTATCTTTCATAAGCGGGAAATAGTTTTCAGCGCACAACAGTTATCTTTAGTTTAGTTACAGATAATTGCTAATATCATAAGTGTAAAACTTGGGCACTGTGGTGGAATTCAATTCCATATTAGATTTTTTTTATTTGATTTATAACACAGTGATCTAGTATTATTTACTTGATGACCACGTTTCCAGCATAAATTGTCGTTGTTCATAATCATATGACTGTAGTCACACTACTTTCGACATCTGATCTTTACAGTCCTCTCACCTCTTATTCTTTGCTTTTATTGGTAGTAAAGTTTTCCACATCTCTGGTATAGATGTTGCATCATTCCCATTACATGTGTTGGGTGCTGGGTATTGATTCGATGAACAGAGATTCAGTAATCAATCTCTCTCTCTCTCTCCACCTCATTAAATTGGACCTGAGTACGGCGGTAATATCTCACCGTATTGTGTGGTTGTATGTTCATGCATCCATTGTAATAGCCGAGTGTTTTTCTAGATTATTCATCTTATTGGGGTCTGTCGTTCTGTGTTTAGTTATATTCCTCTATTCCACTAATCTAACTGATGCTGACCGGCTAATTTCACCTATGCACTTGACCTGATCGTCATTACATGAAATTCGATAGATTAGATTATTTTGCCAAATTGGATCTATTTGATCGTTAAGCTGACAAATCTTATCTCTGAGTGAATTTGTAAATTTAAATGCCACTGTAATTCCAACATTAATGAGAGTCGCACGTAGAGTATCTGATGTTCTATCTATATGGCGTAACACAATGGAGTCTTTGAACTCCTTTCTACTAGTGCTGACGTTATTATTTCAATACGTACTACTGCTATTATTTCGTTCCTTGTGTTCGTACGAATTTCTTAATGAACGGTAGAAGATAATTAATAACTTCTTTTGTGTTTCAATTGCTTGTTTAAGTCCATGTGCTGATTAGTGAGTTTTTAGCTCTACCATTCAGACACCTGAATAAACTCGCCTTAACTGACATTGGATGAAATGATGTGAAGTCTAGATATCAAGTGGAATGTGTTGGTTTCCTGTAGACAGTAGTGTCTAAACCATTGTCTGTTCCTAGTTTTACCTTGAAATCCGACATAGGAAATTCTCCTTGTTCATTTTCCACTTCATTAGTGAATTGGATTGGGATTACTAGTGAGTTTATATGTGTGGGGAAATTATAGATATATTCCGATTTCAACGCAATAAATGTGTCATCCAAATATCATCACT